TTCACTTGATTTGTTTAGATAACATCCCCTCCCACCCCCACCTTTTCATTTATTTGTTTTCAATCTTAGTAGGAGGCAGATTCTACTCACCAAGCATTCATGTTCTTTGTGCTCGCAACAATTTTCTTAACACACAGTGCATCATCTACAATATCGTCATCCAGGAAGTCTGCAGAGAAGTTAATAGAGACCAGTTAAAAATGGCAAGGATGGGTGAAATCAGAACAAGGAAAGGGATGTCATTGAAAAAGTGCAAAGTGACTTTCAATTACCATGGGGAGAGTATATTCAGATCTCCCATATCTGAGATTAGGGACATATGATTGAATGGCTTTCTGATTTACTAGTAACCCATGATATCTAACGACATGCGAGTGTGGAGAAGAGCAAGCCACAGACCACTTATTACAATGTAGCCTGAGCCCTGCCACATGCACAACGGAGGACCTTATTAGAGGCACTCCAAGTAGCCAGTTTCTGGTCAAAGGAAATCTAGTACAATGCCAAGTTTTTAATTTTGTTTGTGTTTTAAATACATCATAACCGTACCTTCAATTTGCTTCTGACAGATAAATAAATCTAACATAAAAATAATCATACAAATAAGTTGTTTTTCTTTTGAACTTCCAAAGGCAAAGGCAGAGAGGAAAGGTACTCACTATCACAGGATGTGTTGCATTTGTTCGGAGACTTATGCCTCCCATTATTGCACCATTCAAGGCCACTCAGCTGAAATATCCCATAGCGTGGAGTGCCTCTTGTGTTCTCGTAGTAGAAAGTGTCAAGTTTGCTGGAGTAATCAGCGGCACAGACAACTAATAAAGAAGCAAAGAGTGACATCTAGTAAAGAAGCAGAGAGACAAGCAAGAGTTTGACTTTCTAAAAATCAGTTCTAAAACATTGAAAAGGGGAAGAATTTTTTAAAGATGTACCCTAGAACCACATAGTTGCAAGATGCCATAAGGGCCATCCAGTAGTAGTAGTAGTAGTAGTACTAGTAGTAGTAGTAATTTTATTGGTTAGCCCTTAGGCCATATCACAATATCAAACAAAACAACAACTTAACAAGACTTGATCACACTCCATGTAGTAAGTTAAAACAAGACACTTATAACAGTACAGTAAACAAATATTATAGGATATGATAAAACTGAGTATATACATCACATTTCCTTATCACCCCTACAATTTACCCCATTCAGCCCTACATATGTGGTTCTCAGACGTATTGTTTTGCTTAAATACAGAGCTGTTTTATATGTTATTTTAGGTCTTGGCCACACATAAAATATGTTGCTCTGATGTGAGATTCCCAATACATTGTCCGTTTGATATATGGACCAAGGTAGGCATCTCTCATGTTCTGATACAATTTACAATCAAATGATATGTGTGCTATATCCTCAATTTCAGGTGCCCCGCAGATACAACTTCGTTCATTATAAACCATCCAGTAGTAATTTTTTTGAAAATGTACTCATCGTTTTTTTAAAAAAAATGTCAACATCAATATTAGTTTAGATTTTTGCAAAATTCACACTCCTGGACAACACTCTTAGATCGAGAATCCCATCCAATGTTACAAAAATACCACACAGTATATCTAAACAGCTAAGAACTCTCCAAATATTCTTGGTATTTCTAAGACTTGGGAATGTCTAATTTCTCACTGATTCCTTTGAAGCTTGCTAGTTTGATAGATATGTCATACTTTTTAAAAATCCATGCTATTTGACAATATTTACCAACATCAGTAAAATATTTTAAATTAAAAAATATACTGAATGTCACTAAAATAAACAGAGCAGCTAACACATCTGACTTGATCAGACTCATAACTAAACAAAGAAGGAAGTTTTGCCCTTCAAAGATGGTACTTACATTGTTCTGAGAAGATTTGATTAAAAGGATCCATCCCTAGAAGCTTCAGTGTGTAATACATGTCACAGGCATCATATATTTTGGACTTATTTGTTACAATGAGCAGGTAGAAAAAGGCGAGACTGGCAAGGTTCATTCCTGTAGGTCTCTGGGAAGTGTTTCCCACGAAGTGCCAAGGTTTCTGTGTTACTGGGCTATAGAAAGTTGCCCAGTGACCATTCCCTCCAACAAATTATATGTTCATGTCACCAGTAAGATCTGAAGGGATGAGAAATAATGACAAGCAAATAGTTGGCATGTCTCCAGGAAGCTCTACATGGCTGCAGGAAGTGGTGATATTGAATATACAGTGCATCTATGGATGTGCTGAGCATTAATCCTTCCTGCCAAAGGTATAGATAGCCATGATGAGTTTAGAGCAGTGGTTCCCAACCTTTTTTTTTTTGACCAGGGACCACTTTGACCAGGGACCACTCTCCAACATTTGTGCCAAAGGGTTTATGAATCAGTTTTTGGTCAACTTTAGATTCACTGGGTTGTTGTAGGTTTTTTCGGGCTATATGGCCATGTTCTAAAGGCATTTTCTCCTGACGTTTCACCTGCATCTATGGCAAGCATCCTCAGAGGTAGTGAGGTCTGTTGCTTGCCATAGATGCAGGTGAAACATCAGGAGAAAATGCCTTTAGAACATGGCCATATAGCCCGAAAAAACCTACAACAACCCAGTGATTCCAGCAATGAAAGCCTTCAACAATACAACTTTAGATTCAGTTTGGTTATTTGGGGTGCTGATTCAGAAAATTGTATTGGATAGACCACATCAGCTCTAGTTTCTGATACAGAACATACTGTAGGCCATCAAGTAGCCACCATCTGCTCTCCCATAGAAAACCATAGAAAGCCTTGGCACTATAAGAGGATTTTGCTCTAGTTGCAATGGTGTAGTAATGGACCATATTTTAGTTCTTGAGGACCACTGGTGGTCCATGGACCACAGGCTGAGAACTACTGGTTTCGAGGCACTGCCCCTTCAGTATCTCTGTTTCCTCATGAACTTTCCTTCATCGTCTAATGCCTACCTTTATCCTTGAGTACAAGCCCACAGCACAACTATTTAGTGGCCAGTAAGAGAATTCAAAGCATCAGGGAGTTCTTCGATGTCCCGAGAGTAAAAAAAATCCTTTGGGATTTTCAGAAGACATTTTGGAAGTTCTAATGGAAACCTTCCTTCTGTATTGAGCTATAGGATGTATTCAGATCCTCTTCTATGGCTTTCTGTTTTCCAGGGGGCATTAAGCATCTATATTGTGTGAGATGAGCAGTTGAATAGACTTGGGGTCATTCTGTGAGAGAGGTGTTCCTTTACAGGTGTCTTGGTTTCCCAAGATGAATTTCCAAATAGATATCAGGGAAGATCAGGTGTCACAAGAGCATTAATTTTGGGCCATTTGTGCATTCTTTCTTCCTCTAGACACTGATTCCAACTTCCCCCTTCTTCTTAAATATAAGGAGACAGTACTTTAATGCTTCCTTTAAAAAAATCTGTTTTCATTGTATCTGACAAAGTATGTAAGTGGGATAAAGTACAGATTGTTCTCATTAAATCTTTTTTAAAAAAACAAGGACAAATAATTAATCTTTTATTTGGACATTCAAACTGCTTCAAAGGGAGCATTTAATTTTTATCTAAATGTGATTTTTGTTCCAGGGAAAATAGACTTCAGAGAGACAAAACAATTTCTTCAGGGAGGCCAAATTCAGGTGTATCATCTGAAGTAATCTCAGTATAGTTAAGTGAAGTTCCATTTCGTGAAGGTGGGAAAAATAATTACATATTCTGAGTATGTGGATTTTGGCATCACCGTGTATTTGTTAAACCATCATCTGATATAAACATTAGCAAAAATATTATCTTGCCTTTAGATCAGTGGTTCTCAACCAAGGAATGAGGGTGGACCAAGATGAACTAAAACCGTACCTCTCACCACCCTACTCAAGGGATGGTTCCTTTTTGGAAAAGAGTTAATTCTACCAGTATGGCCTAACTTTTCAAATACCTGGGCAACAAAATGATGACTGTCCAGGTGTGGTTGGCCCTCTGAGGTGGTGCTGGTTCTTCCCCTCAGAATGCTCCCCACATTATCCACAAGTCATACCAAAATCCACAATTTTGCCCCTCAAATGTGCCTTCAACTTATACACGATGTCAACATATTCACTACATACAGTACTTGAAGGTTAATTTGGTTGAAGTAACAAGTCTTTCTGATGAGGATTCATTTGTTACATATGCAATTTCTATGAGAACCGGCGTATTAATATATGTTTCACAGTATAGTGAAATTATAGTTCCACAGATGGAGCTGTGCTACATCTTTCCTCACTCACCATTCAACTGCTACAGCTTATGCCTTCCTCCAAACCATTCAGTAGTTGGTGGAGAGCACCAGAATTTGTAGGAACGCCTGGCTATGCTCTTGTAGCCAAGCACAAACTGAGGATATTGTCCAGTGCAATTTGCTTCTCTGGAGAGGCTCGGTGAAGGATGTCATTCTGTGTCTATCTATGGGGATATAGGTGGACGCATCTGAAATCTTTTCACTCAGCATCAGTAACAGAGGAATCAGTGGTACAGAGACTATGAAAAGCACCATCAAAGGGGGCGACACAAACGGTGGAGTTTGAGAGAGTGGAGGGCAATGTGGCAGGGAAAGCAACTGTGTGGTGCTGAACAAAGAGAAATGAGAGAAGAAGGAAAGTCATATGATGCCAAATGGATGTAAAACAAACATTGCTGTAAAACAAACAGCAACCTTGTGAAGTAGATTAGGTTGAGATATAATTAATTCCCCATTGAATCTTATGACTCAGAGGGGACTTTATTCTTGATCTCCGAAATGCCAGTCTAACATGCTTACCATAGGAAGCAATATCTTTGGAAGAGTGACAAACATGTCTATGGCACCATGATAAGCAAATAAAGCAAAAAAGGAAATACCAGTTTTCAGAAGAAAAGCAAAGAGACCCAACTTCATTATTGTACCCTTGGTCTGCTTTAATGCTATGTTCCTGAATAGATGTAAAATACATGATGTAAAATACAAGAAAAACTGAACAAGGATTGGGCATCATTTATCAACCTGTAAATGTAATGGATGTGGCCATTTCGACTTGGTTAATGAGAGGAACCATTCCTCCCTTTGGAAGAAATAAGTGCACTGCGCAAAAATGTAGCCGATTCGGTTTCTGTTACAGTACTTCTTAAAGTGTGGCCTAAAGGGGAAAGGGAAGCAAACAGGTGAGTCAGGCCCATCAAGGTTTGTAATGTGCCAAGGGTCTTATTGTGTGTTCATTAAAATAATGCACAAAGTGACTTTCAAGAAAACTTTGTATACATCCACATTTCCAGTCTATTTTATTCTTCTATTGTTTTCCACTTTTGCAGATGTGATTATTCACAAATTTGGTTAAAATGTTCTCTTTAGGAATCGCTAGGTCTCCGGGGTGACTCTGTGATCAAATGTCCAGTGGAAGTTAACCACAGAGTCACACTGGAGCTTCTAGAGCAGGGGTCCTCAAAGTTTCTAAACAGAGGGCCAGGTCACAGTCCCTCAAACTGTTGGAGGACCGGATTATAATTTGAAAAAAAATGAATGAATTCCTATGCACACTGCACATATCTTATTTGTAGTGCAAAAAAACACTTTAAAACAATACAATAATTAAAATGAAGAACAATTTTAACAAATATAAACTTATTAGTATTTCAATGGGAAGTGTGGGCCTGCTTTTGGCTGATGAGATAGGATTGTTGTTGCTTTCAAGTCATTTCAGACTTAGGTTGACCCTAAGCGAGGGCTGGGTAAATGACCTTGGAGGGCCGTATCTGGCCCTCAGGCCTTAGTTTGAGGACCCCTGTTCTAGAGCATTCTAGAGAGGCTTTCCCTAAGATAAAAAATAGTACTTTTTAAAATTTGTGGTGCTTTTTCACTTTCATGTGGGTCCTGTGTTCTTAAACTCAGGAATATGGAGAGCTGATGGTATTCATTCTATTCTTGCAATTAGTCATTGTTCACTCTATCATTAGACAGACAGCCCCTTCAAGTAGCAGATCATGGGTGTCACTAAAAGGCTGCAGTCCCCCTAATCTAATATGTTACGACAGATATACCTTAGTTGGAGATAACAAAGTAGATGCATTCCTGGGCATTACTTCTTTAACAGAAAACTTGGTATCGGGGGAGAAAATAAAGTGGAAGAAATAAGGATAGGTTCCATGGTTTTCAACATTTCATCCTAAGCTGATAACATACACATATGAAATGACAACCGCATCAGTATATTAGTTGCATAAACAGACAAAAATGTTTGGAAATGTTTAGAGATCAATCCAAGGCTTCTTCTAAAATGCATCCAGGGATTTCACCAGCCTCCATTTTTCTTATGATTTCCCTTCTGATAAATTTAGTAACCTGCATTTGTTTCACATGCAAAGAGTAGCTAGTGAGGCATACCTCCTGTTCTCTCTTTTTCACTTTGTTTTATTGTTCATTCATGCTCAGTAGGGGATCCTGTAGGCAGCTAACCTTTTCCTAGCATAATGTGGAGATCCATCATAGGATCATAGAATCATAAAATCATAGAGTTAGAAGAGACCTAGTGGGCCATCCAGTCCAACCCCCTGCCAAGAAGCAGGACAGTCGCGATCAAGTAAGGGCCCATCCACACAGTACCTTTATCTCAGCAGCTCCTGGCTGAAAATGGTAGGTGGCCAAATGACATCTCCTGAAAACATGGGAGGAATCTCTATAAGGGGCTAAAAACGTGAGATTTTCAGTTGCAGGAATATCCCGGTTCTGGCCAAAAAAATGCAGATATTCGAATCTCTGAATGTCCTTACACCTGGAAAATATGGAATTTTTTATGTTGGTTTGTTCCTGGGTTATACATGTCAGTTCTTGATTGGTTGTATGCTGAAAACATGGCAACAGTTGACTACAGGGTCAAAACTTTATCCTGTCAAGAGAAATTTCATCGTCCACATGTTTAATGAAGTTTGAGGCACACAAACAAAGGTTTTGCCTTGTAATCAACTTTCCCCATGTAATTATGATAAAAGCAATGAGAAATAGACATGTATAACCCAAGAACATTATCCCGTTGTTCCCAGGTACAAGTACACGACCAAACCTCTCTGGTCAGATTGCCATGCCGCCTTGGAATGATAATAATAATGACTAAGTTCTGTTTCTGGCTTGAAAGTGTCAGTTCCTTTTAAATAGTGTTGTCCTGACTTTGAAAGTTGTGGTCCTACTCAACAAACTTTGTTTGTGTGCCACAAATGTAATTAAATGTGTGGAGGATGAAGTTTCTCATGGCTGGACAAAGTTTTCATCCTCTAGTCAACTTTTGCTATCTTTCCAGGATAAAAGCAATGAGGAACAGATATGTATGACCTAGAAACAAAAATTGTACGAACAATGTGCATATTTGCATGTGCAAACAAAGGTGTTTTGTTTTTTTAAGCCAAAATTTCTGGTGGATGTCTTGCAGCAGCCATTTTCTGTGCTTCAAAATCCTGTAACAAAGCAGCAGGTCTGGATGTCGCAGGCAGAAATCCCAGGACCAACAGGTCTGTGTGTGGACGAGCTCTCAGGTCCCAGGTATTTTTGCCCCTTGTGGAAAACCCGCAATTTGGTGCTGTCTGGAAGCTCCCTAGAGCACCATTCCTTTATTTATTTTTATTTATTTCGAACATTTTTACCCCGCCCTTCTCAACCCCTGGGGGGACTCAGGGCAGCTTACAATTGGCAATAATTTAATGCTGAATCATAAAATACAGAATAACAAATATAACAATTAAACATGAACATTAATAAATAAAGATTAAAACAGTATACTTACACTCTGATTAGCTATTGCCCGTCTGGTAGCTATTTAGCTAGCCATCTACTAAAGATTACTCCACTTAACTTATCCAAATCCTCTTCCATGCCATAGTCAAACATTATCCATTGTCCTTTAACCTGATTGCCTGAAGGCCTGGTCCCACAGCCACGTTTTAATCTTTTTTCTAAAGGTGAGGAGGGATGATGATGACCTAATTTCCCTGGGGAGCAAATTCCACAGGCGAGGGGCCACCACTGAGAAGACCCTGTCCCTCGTCCCCGCCAAGCGTGTTTGAGACAAAGGCGGGGCCGAGAGCAGTACAGGCTTTGTTGTGTTCTTTACTGCAAAGTGACACTGAAATTCTGTGCTTCTCAAGGTCTCTTTCAATATACTCTCAATACTAAATCTGCAAAAAGAAACTTCTGTCTAAACATAAGACGAGGAGGAAAGAGAGGGTGGGGCAGGCATAAAACAATTATATAAAAAAGAGTTTCTTTGTTAGAGGTTTTGTTCTATGATGTGTGCCTTTTCATATATTTATTGATGTTGATGTATGCCTTCATGTTGTTTTGAACATATGGTGAACCTAAGATGACCTTATCACAAGAGGTTTTGCGGCTGAGAGTGTGTGACTCACCCAGTGGGTTGCCTTGAGTAAATCATATATTTCTAGTCCTACCATATATTTTTTTCAATGGAAATACTCACCAAGATTCCAGTTTGTTTCTAACCACTCTTTTCAGACATGCAACATCATCTCTGATGTCATCATCTAGAAACACTGTGGAAGATATGGATGGAGACAAGTTAAGTGAGAAGGAAGTAAGCTCCACCTTTACAGATACAAGAATGGTGTCTCTCATGCCAAAGTCCATGTTGACCTGGAATATAAGCCTTGCTATTTTGTGAAAAGAAAACCATGCTTGGCTTTGACTAACTCCTGTTGCTTTTCCCAACTTGAATAGACCCACATGAAAAAGGAGTCATGAAGTTGCACTTACTATTGCAGGCAGTTTTACATCTGTTTATTGTTCTAGTCCTCCCATTTTTGCACGACTGGGTGCTTTTCAGCCGGAATATTCCATAGTGAGGAATGCCATCTGCAACCTCATAATACTCAGTATTCATTTTACTTGGGAACCAGGCCAAACACACATCTGCCGGGAAAGCGTAATGCAAAAATTAGAAACGCAGAAGAATATGTGTTTCCTAAAACAATTTTGAGAGCTTTGAGCCAGAACAGCAATTTGAAGGTAATGGAAACTCAGCCCTAGATTCATGGAGGACATTTTGAAAATAATGAAATCAGCTGTTCTTGGTGTTCTTGGTCTTCCGGTTTTGTGGATCCTTAGAGTTGTAGGATCATAGAATTGGAAAGGGTCTAATCCCGTGATCAATGCAGGATCTCCATCTTAACCAGGGATATCACTCGTTTACATCAGTCTTATGGTTGCTTTCAAAGGACCGTGGAATCCATGGATGGAGAATCTGTGGATATAGAGGACCAACTATAATTGTTTACATAGTGGTTGGTGCTCTTTAGCTTTTACTCAATTTGGGGTCTCCTGAATGATAACTTCCATCTTTTGATTATCCATCATGTGGGCTGGGGATAATAGGAATTGCAGCCTAATATCACTTGTGGCTCTGAGGTTGGGGAAAGGGTGAAGGACATTTTAAAGTCAGACCTCATAACCACAAGCCTTATATCTAAATCCAAACCCCAATCTCTTGACCACACAAAAGAAAAACTGCAGCCATCCAGATGCTACTGTATCCCAACTCCCATCAGCTCTAGTAATGATGTCTAATGATGGGGAATACAGGAGTTGTAGTCCAACAATTGGAAGGCCACATGTTATTCATTTATACTCTTATATATGCTGATTAATATGTCCAGCAAATGTGTAAATAAATATGAGAAAGATCTGTCAAAAGAATTAGTATGCAAACTCCATCTTAAAAGTATTTTAAAAACAGTTTTGACTCTGAAAGAAGCTCATTAGACCTCTGATAATATAAAATTAGAAGGTATATCTGTCAATATCTGCCTCGCCATCAAACTGCTTTGTACAACATAATCATTTAGCAGTTTTGTGCATTGAAAATGGTTTAGCTAAGCGAGTTGATATTACTGGTTATTGAAAAAATTGCTAGAAAATATACTTTTGAATTATATTTTGATATTATTGATAGTTATTATGTAAATCCATATAATTTTAATAACTATTGATATTACTTTTGTGTCATCATTTAAATTATTTTATCCTTTTGCAGTTAGTGGGACTGGGACATAGGGACTGAAGTTCCTGACCTGGGGGCCCACTTTGGGATTTAAGGTCATGCCTACATCCCTACATCGTCCTCATTTTTCATTTCTGTCATTGGGTTAAACCCTTGTGCTGGCAGGACTAAAGATGGACAGGCTGGAGGTTCGAATCCAGGGAGAGCATCGATGAGTTCCCTCTGTCAGCTCCAGCTCCCCATGTGGGGACATGAGAAAAGCCTCCCACAAGAATGGTAAAACATCAAAAAAACATCCGGACATTCCTGGGCAACGTCCTTGCAGACAGCCAATTCTCACACACCAGAAGTGACTTGCAGTTTCTCAAGTCGCTCTTGACTCGTTGCCATTATCTGCTCTAGAACTGTTATGTAAGACAAAATATTAGTATAACTACGGAAAATAATATACATAATTCCATATTCTGAAATGGGCCATGTAACATGAAAAAATTCCTTCATACCACTAAAGTTACCATAATAAACATTTCCCAAGCAATCATTTGTATACCGAGAGGAATAAAAACATATATAAACTGAACACTCTGTCCTAAAAAGAGATGTGAAAGGGAGGAAACTGCAAACTTATTGTTAATTCGGTTAATCTTAAGAGTGGAAGGAAAGATGTACTATCACAAGCAAAACTCACAGTGACTTAGAGGAATGTTTCTATACTTATCGAGCCCAAGACTTCTCAAGTAGTAAAACAATTCACATAGCTGAAATGTTCTGGCTTCATTTGCTACAATCAGCAAGCAGAATACGGAACAACAAAGCAACTTCATTGCCACAGTTCTTTGGAGAGTGGTGTGTCCAGAGACCCAGGGTTTTTATAGTTCGTGGTTTGAGGCTTTTCAGTGTGTACAAAAAGTATTCTTGGGCTACCAGAAAGGATGCCGAGATAGATGAATTCATCTAGTGGCTGGATGGTGCTTTCCCATATCCTTTGTTGCAGGAACAACTTTTTAAAAATATCCACATCCTCCCACATCAATCCTACCGTATATCTGTATTAGGAACACCTGGGCATGCACATGTCTGTGAAACCTAACTGAAATATTCTACTCGTGTAACTCATTTCTATAAGCCATAGACCACTTTATTTATGAACAATTACTGCAGAATATAGTAACAATGATGACTGAACCTCACCTGGTTGAGCACAGCATTGCCCCTGTGGCATCTGGCACTTTTCTGGAGCAAAACAATACTCTAAAATGTAATGTGACATTTAAAAGACTGTAAGAAGCGTCTCTAAGGGTCATATTCCAATGACAGGCACTCTACATTTTGTCAGGTTTTGACGCAATTTTCTAATCTTTTATCCTTATAAGTTTGCTTTCTGTAAAGGGAATGCTCTGTGCCTCTTCATGCCCACCATGGCAGAAGTTCTGCATATTCGCAGTGACAACTATTTTGATGATGGCAGCCATAACATTTTATCAACAATCCATGTGTTTTATAGAAAATGTTATTTTCTTATGGAGAACGTGTGTGGGATGAGGATTGGGCAAAATCTATTAAGTTTATCATTGGCAAGGTATGGTACCCTGTAAAAATGAAAGGCAAGTATACACAGATATCTTTTAGCGTGAAAACCCTCTAGTTTGCTCTTCCTTTAATTTCTGTAATTCTGACAATGTTTACATGTTAGCATTTATCCTGGAATGGTTTTAAGACAGCAGTACAATCCCCATGTGTGCAGTAGCACTACCTACACTTTCCCTTACCTGCATAAGTCCAAATTTTCTAGTTCCTCCATGCAATTTTATGGTATGCATGTTACTATAGAAGCCCCCTGGAGAGCCTAGCAAATTTCTAGGGATTTTTTTTCATGGCAGGAGCGACTTGAGAAAGTGCAAGTCGCTTCTGGTGTGAGAGAATTGGCTGTCTGCAAGAACGTTGCCCAGGGGACGCTCGGTGTTTTGATGTTTTACCATCCTTGTGGGAGGCTTCTCTCATGCCCTCGCGTGTGGAGCTGGAGCTGACAGAGGGAGCTCATCTGCGCTCTCATCGGATTTGAACCTCTGACCTGTTGGTCTTCAGTCCTGCCGATACAAGGGTTTAACCCATTGCGCCACCGGGGGCTCCATTTTTCAAGGGATGATACCATATTTACTTGAGTCTGTTGCTTTTAAGTCAAGCTTCCTTGAGACCCTTAGGGAAATAAAGTGGGGTATTAATATAATAATAATAAATTGCCTCTCCAGAATTAAAGTCTGCAAATCTAATGTGTTAATCTTAGTGCTGAACCAAACCCTAACCCTCCCCCCCCAAAAAAAAAGATTTATAGTTCACCAAGGGCTTCACTACAAATATGTGATTTTTTTTCTTTTTTAAACCTATTCCAGACATTCACAAGTTTGAAGCATCGGAAGTGATCCAGCAGCAGCTTCACCCCTTAAAGACTCTTATCATTTCTAACTCTTTAATACTGTAAATTGTATCTATTTTTCATGACTTTCTGTGTAATTTGTATCCTTTTACTATACAATGTATCTATTTTCTTATATAAAATATATAAACTGCTTTATAAAATGTATCAGAGATTAAGCCTAAGACACCCCTGCAAAGATAGTCTCCTTGAAAGAGGAAGGCTGGACAAACCCCTCTGGCTATTTCCCAAGCCAGGTAATCATTGGATCAATTGTTCATATATGTGCAAAGATCGGTGACTTCCTGTGCCAGCTCAGATAAACCCAAATCTGTTTGTGTAACTTAATGACCCACCCGAGGCTGAGAGATTGTTGTCCATAGAAACAGAGACTTAAGAGCATTTGCATTTGTTAACTCTTTTATTTCACAGCCAAGCTCCTGATGGCTCAGGATTGACCCCTTTGTTCCAGGAGTCTTTGTTCCCTGAAGATCATATCTTTATTCAACACAGAACTAGACAGTTGAGCTAATCAAAAGCTCATGGACATGTCCTTAGCATTGTTCTCTTGGATTGCACTTCTCCCAGGGGGGCGTCACACCAGCCGATTGGTCCCTTGACCAGCCAATCCCTAGCCACATCAGCCTTATGGTTGCCTTCAAAGGACCAGTTGTAATTGTAAGATTGTATTAATGTACCGTATATACTTGAGTATAAGCCGACCCGAATACAAGCCGAGGCATCTGATTTTAGCACAAAAAACTGGGAAAACATATTGACTCGAGTATAAGTCGAAGGTGGGAAATGCAGCAGCTACTGGTAAATTCCAAAATAAAAATAGATTCTAATACTATGACATTAATTGAAGCATCAGTAGGTTAAATGTTTTTGAATATTTACATAAAACTGTAATTTAAGATAAGACTGTCCAACTCTGATTAAACTATGATACCAACCTTTTTCAGTGTAAATACGTTTGCACATCCTTTCAGTAATAAAAGAGTAAAATAATAAATGTAACAATAATAGAGTAAAGTAATAGAAATGTAATAATAACAGTAATAATAGAGTAAAATAATAAATGTAATAATAACAATAATAAAGTAAAATAATAAATGTAATAATAATAGAGTAAAATAATAATAATAATAATAATAATAATAATAGTAATAATAATATAATAAATAATCTTGACTCGAGTATAAGCCGAATGGGACTTTTTCAGCCTTAAAAAAGGGCTGAAAAACTAGGCTTATACTCGAGTATATACAGTAACTCTGTTGTTCTGGCATTGAAAGCCTTATGGTCCACATAAAACGATGTGGTGGGCCAGATTCACCCCATGAACCATGAAGTTGAAACATGTGCTCTCTAGACCATCATGTTCTTGCTGTTAGTTATTTTGGGATTTTTTTTCTTTGGGATTTTTTTTCTAGCACAGCAGATGCAGTTTACCCCATCTTCAAAAAAAAAGTAACAACCTGATAATATGACTCTCCTTAATAAGTAATCTTGTGTTGTTGGCTAATACATATGTTGTGGAATAAAGCACAGTTTGTTCTCATCAGAAAGGTGATCTTGCCTCCACGACCAGTTTAAAATGAGCTAAACTCAGATCTTTAACTCCCAACACAAGTAATAGCTGTTGTTGTTGTTGTTTCTGTTATTTTTGAAAAATAATCTTCTGTGGTCAGTGAGACAGAACAATATAAGTAATTTTGAGTTCATTTAATCTAGAAGTGTGATGCCAGAAATGTGAGGTTTTTCAAGGACCTGTGGATATCAAGGGACGCCTGGCGAGATTCACTAACCATGCATGTTTTGAGTCATGAATCAGGAATCTCACCAGGTCTACACAGAAGGGACATTTGTACAGCAGCGGGTGCTCAAAGGGTACAAGCGTAAAACACAAGTGAAAAGCAGGCATCCTTATACAAAAGAGTTTTAATGCACTAACATTGCTACGGTTTGAAATTTCCTCTCGATTGGCCAGCACCAGAAAGCCAGCTGTCATTTCTCAAGCCTCTGATTGGTCAGGAGGCAGGCCTTGCAAGTGCATGCCCTAATTGGTGGAGGCAGCGGTAACATTATTTATTTATTTATTTATTTATTTATTTATTTCCTATATTTATACCCCGTTCTTCTCCCCTTGAAGGGGGACTCAGGGCAGCCTAACAAAAGCATCATACAATGCTAGCATCATAAAAACAATCACAGTACAATCAAAATATTAAAAATATTAAAACAACAATTAGAACAATTAATTAAGACACATCCATTAAATCAAAATCCAAAAACCGGTCCAGGTCCATTCATTGCCATAAGTTGTGTGATCTTCTTCCACTTGTTGCTCACTGATCAAATGCTTGGTCCCATAACCAGGTATTGATTTTCCTTCTAAAACACTAGAGCAGTGGTTCTCAACCTGTGGGTCCCCAGATGTTTTGGCCTTCAACTCCCAGAAATCCTAACAGCTGGTAAACTGGCTGAGATTTCTGGGAGTTGTAGGCTAAAACACCTGGGGACCCACAGGTTGAGAACCACTGCACTAGAGGGAGGTGGCTAATCTGATATCTCTAGGGAGGGCGTTCCATAGGTGGGGGGGCCACTGATGAGAAGGCCCTGTCTCTCATCTCCATCAACCGTGTTTTTGATAGTGGTGGGATCGAGAGCAGGGCCTCTCCTGAAGATCTTAAACTTCATGATGGTTTGTGGCAAGAGAAACGTTCGGACAGGTAGTCTGGGCCAGAACCATTTAGAGCTTTAAAGGTTAAAAACAACACTTTGAATTGTGCTCGGAAGCTGATCGGGAGCCAGTCGAGTTGGCGTAACAAAAGAGTTGTATGTTCCCTGTACGTCGCTCCGGTGAGCAACCTGGCTGCCGACCGTTGGACTAGTTGAAGATTCCAGGCAGTTTTGAAAGGCAGCCCCAAGTAGAGTGCCAGGGATCCCCTCTTAGCTGGGCGAGGAAGCCTTGGGGCTTCCAATGAGCCAAAGAAGGTGGTCTCTGGGGCTGAGAGGTCTCCAGGGGGTTGTGTCCCCCTTGGGTGTGTAGAAATGGAATGCTGAAGACAATGGGAGTCTGAAAAGATGAATGGTGGGATTATGCTTTCATCCAGTGACAATTTCATCCTAGATTTTACATGTTTCCTTCACCACAGACAACCCAGTATTTCTTACTCTCTGCATAGGTGTGGAATTTGCATGATCCTGCCCACTGCCTCTCCCTTAACCCTTTCCTAGTCTTTTCAACTCTGTCTGCACAACAAGCAGAGCAGAAATAATCAGCAACTAAACATTCTGGAGGAGTTTGGGGGGTTGACTCCACATGGTGGAAGTTGCAGTTCACCCTACATCAAGTCAGAGCACTGTGATCCCCACTAACAATGGACCTGGACTATACTTGACACATAGAACCCCCATGGCCAATGAGAAATACTGGAGAGGTTTGGGGGGAATTCACCTTGATTTATAGAATTTGTAGAAACTGGGATTTATAGTTCACCTTCAAAGAGCATTCTGGACCCCAACAATGATGGCCCTGGACCTAATATTGTGTACTCCTCTTCTGAGGAGGAGGAGGAGGTAGAACAGGAGGCTGAAAATGTAAGAGTTGGAGACTTGGGGCCAAGTGTTGAGGAGGAAAACAAGAGTGAGAAAAACATACTGCCAGTTCCTATGTTTCAGGAACTCTCAAAGGTGAAAGAAAGGAGAAGGTCAGCTAGAATGGCTGCAAGGATGCTGAGCAATCAGGCCTCGCCCTAGGAACACCTGTGCTAGGAGCTGAGGGCTATAAATCAGCAGTAAAGCAAGTAATCAATGCTGGCAGCAACCGTTCTACTTAATGTTTCTGTGCTCTGGTTTCCTTGCTTGCAGCTCCAGCATCTGCAAAGTGCCTCACAAAGACTTTTTGCAAAGACTTGTTTCATGTCTGATGTAAGACTTTTGCTTTGCTTTTGGGATTTTCTTTCTGTTCCTTTGCTGCTGTTTGTTACATTATTATCATTTTGCTGAGGTAAAGCTTAATTTTGTTGCTTAACCCGTGTTGTAAGGTTGCATCTGAGGCAAAACAGGACACCTAACTTGGCACACAGAACTACCATGACCAACTGAAAATAGTGGAGGGGTTTGGGGTGGGGGAGACTGACCTTCATTTCTGGAAGTTGTAGCTCATTTACATCCAGAGACACTGTGACCACCACCGATGATGGATCTGGACCAAACTTGGCACACAGAACCCCTATGACCAACTGAACCTACTGGAGGGATTTGGGGGGACTGACCCACATGGTAGGAGCTGTAGTTTATCCTGCATCCAAAGATCATACTGAACCCCATCAATGATGCATTTAGCGGAAACTTGCCCAACATTTCAAACTTTAACTACTGATGGAGTTTCAGAGGGTTAACCTGGTGAGTTGTAGTTCACCCACAACATTATGCATTTTGTAAAATAAAAAAATGACTTTAAAAAATAACCTGGGCAACACTGTATACCCAAGCTAGTAAATAAATAAAATAAAAAACAGGAAAAAAAGAAAAAAAAGGAGGAATATAGAAAATAATTTTATATGCTGCCAAAAGGAAAAAAGGAGATGTGCCAAAAGTATTATGCAATGCTTATGATGGGAAATTGCAGCTTATGTTGGTTCAGACAATGTAAATTAGGTTTTTGATAGATGAAAATGAATTTAGTATCAAAATACTACAAATAACAGAAACTTTGTTCTTGGGAAATGTGTGTGCCATAGTGAACGAGTAACTAGTCGTTTATATAACGAATTATCCAGTTTGATAAAGCAAGAAAGGTAAACTGACATGAAACCACTAATCTACATTTATTATCTTCTGGAATAATTTTTACATGAACAATCACTTGCTAAGTACTAGGAAAATGGATATGTATTTTAAGGGGTTTCCTGGGTTCGTCCCGTACTAGATTTTTATACCACTTATCATTTTCGAAGAAATAAGCACATTTTAAATTATATATCCTGAGGGTGTTAAGGTTGCAATTGTTCTTGTAGTGTCTCCTAAAGGCACAGAGGAAACAAACAAAAATAAATCAGACGGTCCATTCCAACATTGGTTACTTAACATGCTTTCATAGATGAGCAGATGTGCTAAAATGATATGTAAAATGATTCTTCCTGATATCATATGTACAATCATATCATAGCTGCACTTGTGTTCAGATTTTGCAACTTCTGGAAAATCCTGATTTTAAAAAAATAAACAGAAAGAGAATGGCCAGTTTTACTCTCTCACACATTAAAATTATTCAAATACTGAGATATCCCACTCTCAAGAAAAACTCAAAATCTCACTCATACCTATCTTCTTGTCTCATTCTTTTTCATATGAGAAAGGCCTGAATCTAGTTCTGAGCAATGCATTATATATGATGAATTCAAGGTCAGCCAACAAAATTCTGGGAGAAAAACTGGTATAATGCATCGTGGGTGGTTTTTGAACACATTTCTTGCATCACTCTTGTAGCAAAAGCATGGATCCTGTCATCAACTAATTTCCACTTTTATTCAGTAGTCTGAGTTATTAATGTTTAAGTGTAGTGAAGCTTTTGCCACTCACCAATGATTTATTCTATACTCTGTGAGAACTTTCTTAAGGCACTGGACATCATCCCTGATATTATCATCAAGGAAATCTGAGAAGGAGAATGAATGAAGACAGGTTATCCAAGAGTAGATCCTGGTGAAAAGGAAAAGTCAGAAAGTAACTATAATGTGGTCGGGTGATTTTTTTTTAATCGTGTCAGGAGCGACTTGAGAAACTGTAAGTCGCTTCTGGTATGAGAGAATTGACCGTCTGCAAGGACGTTGCCCAGGGGACGCCCGGATGATTTGATGTTTTTATCATCCTTGTGGGAGGCTCCTCTCATGTCCCCGCATGAGGAGCTGGAGCTGATGGAGGGAGCTCATCCGCCTCTCCCTGGATTCGAACCTGCGACCTGTTGATCTTCAGTCCCGCCAGCACGGGGGTTTAATCCACTGCACCACCGGGGGCTCCCGGGTGATGTTGAAGAAAGCAGTTTGATTAGACATAGGAATGTACACACGTATATGTCCTATTCCAAGCAAAGTTTGGTTCCTTACTGTTGAGTTTGTATGTATGACAGATGCCTGTCACTCAAAACTTGAGGCTTCCTACTTTAAACACAACACTAATCTGTCTCAAAAGTCAATTATTTTTATATCAATCAAAAGCTAAAATAAAAGAAAATGAGAACATTAATAGCAGAAGTCTATGACTGGATGAAATACGGGTGATGAGAAATCAAATGATGCATGTGGAAATGGATATCTAACTACTACTATTACTACTACTACGACTACTTTATTTGTAGCCTGCCCCATCTCCCCAGAGAGACTCAAGGTGGCTTACAAGACAAATAGTACAAACAAGAGCAGCATAAAATATGTGCACCAAAATAAATTAAAGTAAAACATAACAATTGAAATTTAACATTAAACATGCCAAAGCAAAATAAAATAAGTCATAAACATAGCCAAAGATTAAAAGTTATTAGTTTAAAACCAAAGTGGCGCAGTGGGTTAAAGCACTGAGCTGCTAAGCTTGTTGATCAAAAGGTCGCAGGTTCGATTCCGGGGAGCGGCGTGAGCTTCTGCTGTCAGCCCTAGCTTCTACCAACCTAGCAGTTCAAAAACATGCAAATGTGAGTAGATCAATAGGTACCGCTCCGGCGGGAAGGTAACAGCGCTCCATGCAGTCATGCCGGCCACATGACTTTGGAGGTGTCTACGGACAACGCTGGCTCTTCGGCTTAGAAATGGAGATGAGCACCACACCCCAGAGTCAGACATGACTGGACTTAATGTCAGAGGACTACCTTTACCTTTACCTATACAAACCAGTATGGACATTCCTGCCATGAATCAAATTAGAATATCAGAATACAGTATCAACATCAGAGTAAAAACTTCAACCAATTTAGGTCCTTCAATTATTGGCAGTTGTATTAATGATTATTGAAGGCCTGTTTTAAAAGTCAAGTCTTCCGTTCTCTCTGAAAGGTTTGAATTGTGGGGACCTGCCTGATCTCCCTGGGAAAGGTGGGGCACTATCAAGATGGGCCTCTCCCTTGTCCCCATTGAACGACGCTTGTGACGGAGGTGGGACTGAGAGGAGGACCTCCTTGGCACACCTCAGAGCCCGCACCAGTTCATAGGGGGAGATGCAGTCTCATAAATAGGCTGGACCCGAACCATATAGGGATTCGTAGGTAATATCATGCACTTTGAATCGGGACCGGAAACTTATAAGCAGCCAGTGGAACTGTTGTAATAGGTATGCTCCCTATAATTTGCTCTGGTCAGCAGTCTGGCTACCAATCTTTGCACTAGTTGCAATTTCTGAGCCACCTTCAAAGGCATCCCCAAGTAGAGTGCATTGCAGTAATCCATATGAGATGTAACTAGGCATGGAACACCGTGGCCAGATCCAGCTTATCAAGGTATGAGCACAGTTGAGTGCTGTGATAAGGACCAGCACCAAACGTGATGGTCCGGCTATCTCGTGTGATAACGTCCTTTAGGTCTGTTCTGTACCCTGTCATTGAGCCTGAGCCTGAAAACTGATAACTATAAAACAAAAATAAATAACAGCTAGGAAGGCTTTTCAACAATTACAAAATGTTTCTATACTACCTGAGAAAGGACAACTCAGACCTTGCATCATTATTAGTACTGGTGATCACAATCCGATAACCTGTGTGGATGGAATTTAAAACTTTGGCCCCTCTCCTTTTAGAAATGACCCATTTTCCTCGAGTGTCAGAAGGCAAAGGTGCAACAACGAAGTCACTTACTGTTACAGCTAGTGTTGCATTTGTTCTGTGTAGTATGCCTTCCATTATCACACCATTCATGGCCACTCAATTGGAATATTCCATAGTAAGGAATATCACGATGATCAACAGCATAGTGCCGAGTGTTACCTTCAGCTGGGAACTGGGACAAGCAGACCACTGGTGGAGAAGCAGAGAATTATGAAAATTAGAAATGGAATCATTTTCCTTTTCTAAGAATCGGTTCCAAAACAAAGACATGAGGAAAGTGACGTGTTTTCTTTAAATCATTTAGATCTCAACCCCAAGTTTTAACCCCAACCTCTGACATAATTATTCCCAGTTTTGATGTTCAATTTAATCTTTTCTCTGGTGGCTTTGCAAAATGTTTAACAAGATAACCTCTGCTGGTCTGACTTTTCCCAAACCAGATGTAAATGTCATTCCTCTGGTCACTTCCTTCTCATACAGTGATGCCCAATAAACCAATGCTGGAAGGGAGGTTTCAATCATGGCAATAATATCACAATGGTGACCAAGTGATCACAAATAYAGAACAGTTATCCACATAGACTTATCTAGTTCTGCATTCATGATGGRCAACATTATGAAATGATTGCCCCTATCATAACTACATAAGATGAAAGAGAGCCATTCTGTACTGATTGGAGCGCAGAGCCTACTATTTCTGTCAAATTGGTGGTGGTGGTGGTTTGGGGGGGGGGGGKGGATGCTGTAAATACTACTCCATGTTTCTCAATATTTTTTTAATCAGAGGGKTCATCTACACAAGACAGTTTAGCCCATATAAATGTTCTCCAGAACWCCCCCTGGATCTGGGGTGGCATGTGTATTGCCTCCTCTGGGCCACCTCCATGGAGCTCTTGGCCATCATCGAGATCTCTGTTGACATGAGAAAGGGGCGCCCCATGATCAGGAAAGAAAAGGGTAGTAATCTCCCACTCTATCTTTCTGATTATGCGGATGCACCATTCTGACATCGGCAGAAACACCCAAGCAACCACACAAAGGGGAGATGTTCTGGTTGCTGATGAGTGCAGGTAAATGGTGCTAGTGTCCCATCTGGACAGATTAGTCTGATTCAGGCCCCTTCTACACTGCCATAAAAAAACCAGATTGTCTGCTTTGAACTGGATTATATGGTAGTGTAGAAGGCAAATAATGCGGATTATCTGTGTTGATTATCTGGATTATATAGCAGTGTAGAATGAGCTTCAGATGCAGTTTCATTGTTCAGACTGCTGCTGTGGCCTAATCTACACTGTCATATAAGACAGCCTGAAGCTACATTATATGGTCAGTGGACTCATAGATTGCCATTCAATGCATGATAGACTCTTCACTGACCATATAAATGCAGATTCAGAACGCTTTATATGGCAGTGTAGATGCAGCCAAAGTTGCAGAATACCCTGGAATTTCTAGCAAACTTTGGAGTATTCCCTGTCTGAAATCGGGTAAAACCTGTTCAAAGCTAAAAAAAAAACCCCACTGGATACTCTCTGGAAGTAGCCGTGCATTATGAAGACAGACAGCCTTCCATTCATGGCAAGCTGAGGGTTTTTTGGCTTGTGTAAATATAAATATAAATATAATACAGGTAACTACTGTGCCATGTAGTACTAATGATTCTAAATTCAATTTTTTCCTCTTTAAAATAAACAAAGTTTGGCAAAATCTTGTTGTTGTGTGCCATTGAGTCATTTCCAGCTTATGGTGACCCCAAGGCAAACCTGTTAGAAAATTTTAAAAAAAGATTTAGAGGAAGTTTGACATTACCTTTCTCTGAGCTTGTGATTTGTCTGAGCTCACCTTGTGGGTTTCCAGGGTTGAGCAGGCATTCAAACTCAGAATCCTAGTACAAGAATCAAAGCAACCTGGCTTTCTACTGGCACAATGTTAACTATAAAATATATTTTGTTTTTGTTATGGTAGATATTTAACATTTTCTGACATATTTTCTATATCTATGTTTTGTGTGTGTGTGTGTGTGTGTGTGTGTGTGTGTGTGTGTGTGTATGTATGTATTCAAAGTTCACTGGAAGGCATATAATGACATTACACACACACCAGGAAATAGACACAGAAGAATCCCCTTTCAATACACCCTAAATCAGTGTTTCTCAGCCTTCCTAGTACCACAACCCCTTAATACAGTTCCTCATGTTGCAGTGACCCCCAACCATAAAATTATTTTTGTTGCTACTTTATAACTGTAATTTTGCTACTGTTATGAATCGTAATGTAAATATCTGATATGCAAGATGTATTTTCATGCACTGGACCAAATTTGGCACAAATGTCCAATACGCCCAAATTTGAATACTGGTGGCGTTGGGGGGGATTGATTTTGTCATTTGGGAGTTGTAGTTACTGGGATTTATAGTTAACCTATAATCAACGAGCATTCTGAACTCCACCGAGGATGGAATTGAACCAAACTTAGCACAGAGAACTCCCATGACCAACAGAAAATACTGGAAGGGTTTGGTGGGCATTGACCTTGAGTTTTGAAGTTGTTGTTCACCTACATCCAGAGAGCATGGTGGACTCAAACAATGATGGATCTGGACCAAACTTGGCACAAATACTCAATATGCCCAAATGTGAACTCTGGTGGAATTTGGGGGAAACAGACTTGACATTTGGGAGTTGTAGTTGCTAGGATTTATAGTTCACCATTTTGAACCCCACCAATGAAAGAATTGGGCCAAACTTCCCACACAGAACCCCCATGACCAACAGAAAACACTGTATTTTCTGATGGTTTCTGGAAACCGCTCTGACACCCCCTCGTGACCCCCCCAGGGATCCTGATCCTCAGGTTGAGAAACACTGCCCTAAATGAAAGTTAGATTTAAAGTATTAATAAGAACACAAAGGGTTTTGTGCACCCAGCAATCAGAACTTACATTTTTTTACTTCAATGCCGCGAAAACCATCCATTCCAAGGGCTCTCAGTTTATAATACAATTCACATAATTCAAACTTCCTAGCTGCATTTCCTATTAGAAGCAGGACAAATAGGGCAAGATGAAATGCCTTCATTGCTGCTTGTCTCTGCAGATCACTGTGTTCTCCAGACTAACTCCAGGACTTTATAGCCCATGGCTCTGGGCTGTAGGCTGCCCGTTCACTCTGGAACTAGTACTAAACCTTAGAAGTTGGCTTGTCACTGTACAAGTGGAGTGTCAATTCTCCAAGGGCTCTCAGCCGTTTTTACAAGGAACTTTAAAGAAAAAAGTAATAAGAACTGGGAGAAGAGGAAAAAAGGGAGCAAGGAGAGGTAACAATTACACACTGATGAAATCACAAAAAAATCAAACTTCATTTATTATTTTGTATCAGATATTAGTTACCAAAGTGAATGGACTCCTAGAATTCACATGTGCAGAAAGAGCAATAGGCAAAAAAGCATGTTGATTTTTAATTATTAAGAAGACCTAGAGAGATGTCACCAAATAGCCTACACTTTATACTTCACTATATATATGTCTAAATTAAACAGCCATGATTTTATATTATCCATTTAGCTAAGTAACCATCTTATTTATTTGTTCAAGGACTGTCCCTCAGCCAGACACCCATCCTCAGTTAAGGCCAGCTGATGCTGCTGCGAATGACAAGAGTCCTTTCCCTTGTTGATCAGCAAGCAGCTGATATTTACATTGGATCCTATGAGAGAGATCTCATGTGACAGTCAGAAGCAAGCACCATATTGCAATAGTACCTTGTATTGGTGTTTGCTTATGGGAGAAGGGTGGAAACATCACTCTGGTGCTTCTTGATCCACAGGGAAATAGATCCCTGTTGCTTACAGCAGTTGCTGCCTCAAAGCTGAGGACTGAGGACTCTGTGTTTCCTAAACTGATTATGTAGGGATTGGGAAAACATGGCTGTATATATCTGTTACACATTTGTAACTATCTTAGAGAATTCTGGTGAAAATCCCCTGACCCTTCCCAGAACTGCTAGCAGCTGTGTCAAGTGAAGGAAATCTGTTCAGCTGTCAAACAGGGTGCAAGAACAATGATATTTCCCTTCTTACCAGCGAGTGAGGCTACAATGAGGAATTGTCATGAGGTTTTCTGGTTTTCATAGCTATAGTTTCTAGTGGGAACATCATCCTTCTTGCACCTCATATTCAGCTCAGTGTGGTTGCTTGCTGTTAAGTGGTGCAAGGCATTTATGATGATGGCAATAGTGCCATAATTGTGATTATATAATGTTGCTGTAAACAGGAATAACTAATAGCTTATCAATCCATAACTACAATACAGAATGCTAGTTAGTGTTCTGAATAGCTAGATAGAAGCATGGAGTGGGGGAGACTGGAAGTGGACCTTTTGGAAGTGAGATGCGCCGGAAAGAGATTGTAGTCCTTAAGACTACATTGAACCCTGAGACTTTATGGAGAACGGTAGGGATGCAAACTAACAGAATGCTAACAACAATAACAGCAGTTATATCATTATCATCATCATCATCATCATCATCATCATCTTTAATTACTTATTAATCGCCCTCCATCTGAGATGCTCCAGGTGATTTACATTGCAGAAATTATACAGGATAAAGCAGTCATTTTCAATGTTTGGTTCTCCAGATGTTGTTGGGCTTCAGCTAACTGAAACCCAAGTCAACATAGCCAATGGTTAGATTCTCTGCATATAGAAAGTGAAAATATTTGGAAGAAATATTGATAACACTGTGACAATAGTTTGAAACAATGGGCTTCTGTTGCCCTGAATATCTATGGGTCCAGATTTTAGCAGGCTAGGATCTGCTGGGATGCACTGTCTGTTGTTGGTGCCAATTGGTTGCTGAGTTTGAAGGGAAATGTAATAAACTATCATTGGTATATTTGAAATCCTATATCTGTTTATTGATCCACCCAGGAGAAGGGCGTGAGCAGAAAGGAATATGGTATGGCAAGAGATAATGGGCTGAAATGAGTGTTAATATTCTAGGTCATACAATGGTGATAGTGTTGTTGTTGTTCATTCATTCAGTCGTTTCTGACTCTTTGTGACCTCATGGACCAGCTCACGCCAGAGCTCCCTGTCGGCCGTTACCACCCCCAGCTCCTTCAAGGTCAATCCAGTCACTTCAAGGATGCTATCCATCCACCCAGGACAGTAGTCATCATTATTTGTCAGTTTGCACCAAATGATAGCTATAACAGCTCTCCGCTGCTCTCTACTGCTCATGTGTGAGAATTGCAAATATTGTGGTACTACGCCTGTGAAACTTTCACAACACATTGGAAGGAGTAAAGCTTCCGTGGTGTGATGAGATAAACCAGATTAAACAGTAAGAAATTCATGTGATGGGGGAGTATGCATCCTGTCAGGATCCTGTATGCATCCCATTTAAAAAGAATGTGGGCTGCATACTGATTTAGCATTTTAAAATTTAAATGTGTTGAAGTCCTTAGTGAGGTGCATCTTGTTCATTCATGCTGTCACTGTCACACCTTTACACTACGGGCTCAGAAAAATATACAGGCATGGCTCAAAGTCCTATAATATGAGTATGCCTTAAGGCCAGCCTCTGGGAAAAAAATGAAAAAAGTTAAATATGTATAGAAACTTGGCATTTGTTCCTCTATGTATATAGATGCATATTCAGAAATAATAATTACAAAATTACAAAATAAATAAACTGCAATCTCTGTCATTATGTTTCAGAAGAGTTACAGTGTGATTTATGTGCTTCTGCTGTTAGATGTTAGCCCTGAACTCTAGTAAGCAACTTCAAGATTGCCCCCCCCCCCCCGTAAACATACATTTGATTATCATAGAATCATAGAATCAAAGAGTTGGAAGAGACCTCATGGGCCGTCCAGTCCAACCCCCTGCCAAGAAGCAGGAATATTGCATTCAAAGCACCCTGACAGATGGCCATCCAGCCTCTGTTTAAAAGCTTCCAAAGAAGGAGCCTCCACCACACTCCGGGGCAGAGAGTTCCACTGCTGAACGGCTCTCACAGTCAGGAAGTTCTTCCTCATGTTCAGATGGAATCTCCTTTCTTGTAGTTTGAAGCCATTGTTTCGCGTCCTAGTCTCCAGGGAAGCAGAAAACAAGCTTGCTCCCTCCTCCCTGTGGCTTCCTTTCACATATTTATACATGGCTATCATATCTTCTCTCAGCCTTCTCTTCTTCAGGCTAAACATGCCCAGCTCCTTAAGCCGCTCCTCATAGGGCTTGTTCTCCAGACCCTTGATCATTTTAGTCGCCCTCCTCTGGACACATTCCAGCTTGTCAATATCTCTCTTGAATTGTGGTGCCCAGAATTGGACACAATATTCCAGGTGTGGTCTAACCAAGGCAGAATAGGGGGGTAGCATTACTTCCCTGGACCTAGACACTATGCTCCTATTGATGCAGGCCAAAATCCCATTGGCTTTTTTTGCCGCCACATCACATTATTGGCTCAAATAGACTTCTTTAAAAACAAATTGTTTGTTTTACTCACAACTTGTTTCATCTAAATATCCAGGCACATTTCTTGTTAGTTTTAACTTTAAAATGCTAGGGTAGACCCTCTTTCACTCAGACTCAACCCCCCCCCCCCCCCGAACAAAACTCAGCCCCCCACCCCCACCCCACCGAATCAAAATCCTGGCTAAGGGTCTGGGTACAACAAAACAAAGGCACGCATCAGTATGGACAATATGGTCTAGCAGTAGAATCGGTCTCCTTATGACCTGAGAACAATATGAAGCATAGCTATTTGACACATCTGAGGGCCCTTCCAGACAGCCCTATATCCCAGAATATCAAGTTAGGATAGGAAATTCCACATTATCTGAGTGTGGACTCTGATAACCCAGTTCATAGCTGACATTGTGGGATTTTCTACCTTGATATTTTGGGATATAGGGCTGTGTGGAAGGGCCCTGAGATAATCTGGATCATGCTTTATACTGAGAACTCTCACCTGCCCATGGGACCTCATATTGTGGAGGGCCAAAGGGGTGTTTTTGCATGCAGATTTACTGACAAAGAGTCCTGCCAAGGGCTGAGACAGTAACCACTCCAACTGCAACGTGGGTGAGGGATTGAAGTTCGTACTCAGTTTTCTTTACGTATATTTTTTTTCTCACCCAAATGAAGCATGTGCATAAGCCTTAAATATATATTGCCTTCTTCACCTAAGCAATGCCATTTTGCATTAAAGAACAATTTTGTAATCCAGTAGCCACTGGGATGTGCGAACTGCAACTATTGTCTTTCATTACTGAGATTTAGGATTCTTCCACAGAGCCAAAAAAAACCCCAGAATATCAACGCAGACAGTCCCACAAAATCTGCTTTGAAATGGGTCCACACTGCCATATATTCCAGTTCAAAGCAGAAAATGTGGGATTTTATTCAGTTGTTTGGAAGGAGCTCTAGCTTCTCATCCAAAGGCATGGAATGGGAAAACAACACATGCGCACTCAGGCAGCAACGACAGCAGCGCCAGAACTTCCCCGGCTGTGAACGCGAGTGCGCAGGCGCGCCTTCCTTGTCCTTTTATACGCCACAGCCGAACGTAAGTGTGTCGGCGACGCTACGTATTTTCTGACGTAAGCACGCGGGTAGATACGAAGGAAGTTACGTTGGCGGGAGAGAAAGCGTTTTATTCTCCCAGGAGGCTCGCTATTGGCTTAAGTTCCGCCAATGGAAGGGCTCGGAGGGAACAGAGCAGATCAAAGTCTCCCTCAGGTGGGCTGCTTTGATTTTTTCGAGCTGTATGGCCACATTCCAGTAGCATTCTCTCCTGACGTTTCGCCTGCATCTGTGGCAAGCATCCCACTCACCCACCCCCAGACACATTGCCCATTTAAAAACCCCACAAATATGGTGACATCTAAGGAGATGCGTGGTATGTGGGTATTATATTATCTGATATTCGTAATTATTTAATTTGTAATCATCCGCGCTCTCCCCGGATTCGAACCTGCGACCTGTCGGTCTTCAGGCCTGTCGGCACAAGGGTTTAACCCACTCCGCCACGGGGGGCTCCCCCTCTAGTGCTGGGAGCCTGTTATCAGAGGGGGAGGGACCTCGGAGAGCTCCTCCCGCGCGCCATTTTCCCACCCACGTCCTGATTGGCGGCCGCTTCCGTCATTCCTATGACTCTCAGAGTGGGAGCCTAAAAATCTCCTCCCATATTCAAACAGCGGCGGTAATTCTCAAATTAGTCACTCTGGACCGTGCTCTTACCTACAAGAAGCACTGCCTGAACATCAAGCAAAAAGTGGGTGCTAGAAACAATATCATACGAAAGCTGACTGGCACAACCTGGGGATCACAACCAGACACAGTGAAGACATCTGCCCTTGCGCTATGCTACTCTGCTGCTGAGTATGCATGCCCAGTGTGGAACACATCTCACCACACTAAAACAGTGGATGTGGCTCTTAATGAGACATGCCGCATTATCACAGGGTGTCTGCGCCCTACACCACTGGAGAAATTACACTGCTTAGCCGGTATTGCACCACCTGACATCCGCCGGGAAGTAGCAGCCAATAGTGAAAGGACCAAGGCAGAGACATCTCCAGCTCATCCCCTGTTTGGGTATCAGCCAGCACGTCAACGACTTAAATCAAGAAATAGTTTTCCAAGATCTACAGAGACACTCGCTGGAACACCTCAGCAAGCGAGAGTCCAAAAGTGGCAGGCTCAAACCCAGAACCTCAACCAATGGCTGATACCAAATGAGAGACTCCCCCCTGGGCATACAGAGGACTGGGCAACTTGGAAGGCGCTGAACAGACTGCGCTCTGGCACCACGAGATGCAGAGCCAACCTCAAGAAATGGGGCTACAAAGTGGAATCCACGACATGCGAGTGTGGAGAAGAGCAAACCACTGACCACCTGCTGCAATGCAACCTGAGCCCTGCCACATGCACAATGGAGGACCTTCTTGCAGCAACACCAGAAGGGACTCCAAGTGACCAGATACTGGTCAAAGGACATTTAAACAACTACCAAACTCACAAATTTTGTATTTATCTGTTTGTTTGCTTTGTTCTGTTAGAAATGTAATATAATCGACTGGTTGCCCTGACACGATCAATAAACAATTCTCAAATGCCATTCGTTCAGGTTTTGAACTTCATTTCCCAGCAGCATCAGCTGCCTTGGGCAGTGATGAGGAATGCCGGGAAATGAAGTCCAAAAAAAAAACAACCTAGCGGCTGATCAACAGATTCCTCTCGACAGCGTGATGACGTTTGGGTTTCGAAGGCCACGCGCCAGGGGATGTTAGAGAGGCGAGAGAGGCTCCTCCTCCTCCTCCTCAGCCCAGGCGCATGCGCGAGGGGGTGACGGCGGCGCGAGGGGCGGGTGACGCAGGGTGGGCGGGGCCTCCAACGGCCGTTCCCTGAGGCGCCTGGGCCCCGGTCCGCAGAGCCACGGCGGAGGGGCCGGGATGGCATCGCCCCCGCCGCCGCCGCCTGCTGCTCCGCCTAGTCCTCCTACTCCGGGCGGTGGCGGGGCGGGGGCCGGAGCAGGACCGCAAGAGGAAGAGGAGCACGAAGTGGTTCGAGTGCGGGTTAAGGTGAGCCCAGTCGAGGGGGAGCGGAGGTGAAGAGTCGGGGGCGGGGCTAGGTCCCTCGGTGGAGCCAGAGGGTTTGTGTAGTTCTGTGTGTCACCAAGGGCTTTGGGTCTAAGGAGGGGGGGGGGTGATGTCACAGAGGGGCTGCGCTGACGTCAGAAGCGCCTGGCAACCTCTGTATTGCTGAAGGGAGAGGAAGGCCACATCACACAGACACCCAGAGATTATTCAGTTATGCCTCAGGAAGTGCATCTACACAAGGCATGAGCAAACTTCGGCCCTCCGGGTGTCTTGGACTCCAACTCCCACAATTCCTAAGTCTACCGGCTGTTAGGAACTGTGTTGGGGTTGGAGTCCAAAACACCCGGAGGGCCGAAGTTTGCCCATGCCTGACCCACACTATAGTTGCATTGTTATGGTTCACTGCAATAGAATCCTGGGAATTGTAGCATGGCAGGGTCTTTAGAATAGAATTAACTTTATTGCCATTGTGCATCGTACAACGAAATTCATTGCATTCTGTATGTACAATTACCAAACAAGAACACTCATTGTTCGACACTCTAATCGCTATTGCACAATCCATAAACCCGTAGTTCTCAGCCTGTGGGTCCCCAGGTGTTTTGGCCTACAACTCCCAGAAATCCCAGTCGGTTTACCAGCTGTTAGGATTTCTGGGAGTTGAAGGCCAAAACATCTGGGGACATGCAGGAACATCCAGGTTCAAATTGTCCCTCTAGATCAGTGGTTTTCAACCTGTGAGTCCCTAGATGTTTTGGCCTTCAACTCCCAGAAATCCTAACAGCTGGTAAACTGGCTGGGAGCTATGGGCCAAAACACCACTGCCGTAAGGCCACATCAATATGAAACCATAACGTTCAATATAGTTACAGTTCTGGGATGTACAATTAAAAAAACCTACCTCTCAGATTAAAAAAACCTACCTCTCAGCCTATTTTGGCCTTGTTTTCATCATCCTATATCATCTGGCAGATGGTAATGTTTCTTTTACAGGGTGGGATGGATCCTTAAAAAATATTATGAGTATTCTTAAAGCAGCGGGAATTATAAAGTTATTTATTTATTTATAGGATTTATATACCGCCTTTCCCACCCAATAAAGAAGGAAGATCAGAGAATGCTCAGAAGTCTCAGATTTCTGCTGGGCCCTCTTAATAAATGCCACAGCATGAACACCCCAGGTCAGGTCCTCCTTAACAATAGCATCCAGGAACTTAAAACTGGCCACCCACTCCAATTGATCTCCAAAGGCTGATTATAACCAAAGGCTGAATTTCTGATCGATTTCTTCTGTAATCTACTGTAAGCTCCTTTATAGTCTTCTCTGCCAACGAGTGCTGGTGCCTCACCAAACTACAACTCCCATGGTTGAGACAGTTAAAGTGATGTCAAGCACAATTACCGCAATTAGTTCTTGTTGAATTAAGGCTCTGGGTGGGGGACATAGGTTCTCCTGTCCTAGGAGTATAAACATTTTTGACCTCATTAGGATTTGAATTGTTCATATTTAGTAGTAATGAGAACCCATCTTGTGTTTGGAGGGAAACAGTGAAGTGATCCTTGTTTCTGTAAGAGCTGGGTGAATGACCATGGATTTTTGGGCCGGGGGTTTAGCACAGCTGGTAAATCATCAGCAATTATAAGATCTATCAACCAAAATATTGCAAGTTCAAAGCCCCGGGTTGGCGTGAGCGCCAACTGTCAGCCCTAGCTCATTGTTTACCTAAGCAATTAGAAAACAGCTTTAGCTGTGATTGGAGAAATTAGGTACCGCTTTAAAAAAGCGGGGGAGGTGTTTTAGGACAACATAAAGAAGGAAGATCAGAGAATGCTGGGCGACCAAAAGGAAGGAGGAAGTCCTGACAGCTCTTCATCATAGAGGATGGAGCAACAGCACCCCCTGGACTCAAGCCCAATCTTCCACAGCACCTCCTGTTCCGTTTCTGTGTATTGTCTATACAAAGCGGCATTGAATGCTTGCCATGTATGTGTACTGTGATCCACCCTGAGTCCCCTTCGGGCTGAGAAGGGCGGAATATAAATAAAGTGTTGTTGTTGTTGTTATTATTATTATTATTATTATTTGTTGGGGTGTTGGGTATACAAGCTGGAATTGTACTCAGTTCTACATTTGATACATTATCAGTTATGATATTTAAAGTACCTCTATTTCTGAGATTTTCCATGTTGTATTGATAGGAGTCATTCTGTTACAAAGAGAAAATATAACATATATATTAATTTACAGGAGGCTGAACTGTGAGTTTAAATATGCCTTGAAAAGGTGTTTCATAGACCACTGGGTTATACATGAGGAGAGCACTTTGCTAAGCCATAGGAGATGGAAGTGGTGAGTGGGATCACAATGAGTAGTGTTCCTTAAAGAGCTGGTGTAGAGATTTTACATGTTGCACTATGACTCTCTAACAGAGTTTGTGTCCTCACTTGGCCTTGGAAACCCACTGGATGACTTTGGGCAAGCCATTTTGACTCCACCTCAGAGGAAGAAAAAAGCAACCCTCCTGAGCAAATCTTGTCAAGAAGATCCCATGATACATTCACCTTAATGCTGCCATAAGTTGAAGTTGATATCAGAATGTTTTGGTGGCTTTGCAGTTAGCTAGGAAAAGTACCTAATCAAGCTTTAGTTCACCAAAGTGTCTTTGCTTCAGAAAGCAAAACATGTATCTTCCAATAAGGATAGTTTCAGTTCTAGAAACAAGACTATATAATTTGTCAGCTATTATGGACTCATTCCCTTTTTTCTATATTAAGAAATGCAACTTGGTTGACTTGGCTCTTTCCCTTTGTAATTAAGATTGATGAGCACAGTGCCCATTCTGGAGAGTGTTGACAACATAGCCTGTTCCTCACAGGACAGGGTCTGTCCAAATACGATGGATGTAATTTGGGAGAATGGACAGAATTTTGAAATGGGGTGTCCTGGAATCCTGATTCTTTTCTTCATCCCATAATCAAAACAGATACTTATCCTTGAAAAGTTTCTCATCCCAGTTGCTTTAACAGGCAATAATATCCTAAAGCAGGGGTTCCCGAACTAAGTCCCACGGACTGGATGCAACCTCCAAGGTCATCCCCCCACCATCACCCTAAACTTTAGACTTAAGGTCACTCAAAGTCTGAAATGACTTGAAAGCACACAACAGCAACAAGAATCCTAATTACCTTGACTATCTCATCAGCCAAAAGCAGGTCTGCATTTCCCCATGAAATACTGGTAAGTTTATGTTAAGTTTACCGTGGTGGTGCAGGTCAGCAGTTTGAATCTGCAGACGGGGTAAGCTCCCATTGTTAGCACTAGCTCCTGCCAACTTAGCAGTTTGAAAACATGCAAATGTGAGTAGATCCATCAGTACTGCTTCAGCAGGAAGGTAACAGCATTCCATGCAGTCCTGCTGGCCACATGACCATGGAGGCATCTATGGACAATGCTGGCTCTTCAGCATAGAAATGGAGATGAGCACCACCCTCCAGGAGCTAGCAAAAATCACCTCTTGGGCATTCCTTCCTTAAGAACCCCATGAATTTATGGGGCCACCATAAGTCAACAGGTGTCTTGAAGGCAAATACCTGCATGATACATCTATTGACCTCTTTACCCTTCAGCTATAGTTAGGTAAATTTTGCAGAATTTCCATGGGCAGTGCGACTAGGATTTGGCTTTGCTGTACTCAAGTATTATTCCTGCAATTTGATCTAAAACAGTATATGATTATGTTCATCTGCATTTTGATAAGGCTTTCCCCCCCTAATAAAACATGCTTAGTGCTACAGCCAGCCAATGCATTTCCTTGAAAGTATGTCTGTTGTCATTATTAGGTTTCCCATCATGATAAGATAGTGGTGATAGTTTGGGAACTGGTCACTTGTGCTTTATGTTAATGCCTAGGATAATATGTTGGCTGTTATTATTTTGTTCCTCCTCATAGTGTATCTTAGGAGAAGGGGAGACAATAGCAAACTCTTAACTTAGGATAACTTCATTGATATAAATGGAATTGTTTCTTTTTATTTCTGATTATGCATGCCCTTGTTAAGTATTAATGCAATTGTATTTGATTTAAAGAGATACTACACCACAGCAATAGCCGACAGGACTATTGGTTCTTTCATTCTTCCTAAGTTAAATAAAAGACAGCAAATTTTCCTTAACTGTGTGAAATCAATTTTTGGAGGCACGATCAATTGTTTAGTATGTAAACAGTAGTTTTCAAATCCATTTCTCCACCATTTCTTGCCATTGGCCACATTATCTAGATTTCTGAACAACTAGAGTTTGAGCAGAACTGCTATAAAGCATTTGACATGTAACTTTTCTATATATAGATAGATAGTAATTAAAGGCAGCTCTGAGAATGTGTAGCTTTTGAAGTACAGGCAGTCCCCGAGTTACAAACATTCGACTTACAAATGACTCATAGTTAAGAACAGGGCTGAGATAATAGGAAGCAAGAAAAATCTACCCCTTAGAAGGGAAATTATCATGAGTTATCATGGGGAAAAGATATCTGAACTGAAGCCTTTTCTCCAATATTTGTTTCCTTAACAAGCCAAATTTTTCAAAATCCAGTTATCACAGGGGCTGAAAGTAAGGTGAAATCCTCTGAACGGGGGCACAGACAGCAAAACAAACACCGCAGGGATGTTAGCCTTTCCCTATGCTATCTAAAGCTATATATTGCTGGAGTTACACTTAAAAATGTACCTGTTCTGTCTTACAAACAAATTCAACTTAAGAACAAAACTGCAGAACATGTCTTGTTCATAACTTGGGGGCTGCCTGTACTGTCAGTACAGCATTCATCAGCATTAACCAACCTAACTAGTTGTAATGTTGTGGTGGCAGTCACAATGCATCTGGAGAATTACAAATTCCCTATCCTTGATTTTAAGGATGGTTTTTGCTAAAGGCAGAGTCATCCCTTGAAGGTGTTATCTACTATGGTAGAAAAACAGTTGAAGGAATGTTGCAGGTGCTGCCGTCTAACCATTAGTTGCTATTCTTCTAATATGACAATGAAGACACTATTTTTAGAAAAGGGTTCTGTGCCTGTTCAGCCTAGGAAGTATGTGGTTAGGGTTAGGGGACTGTTCGGATGGGGTTCTGTTCTCACTCTGCTTACTCTCTGTGATTTTTACAGAAATGTGAAGGCTTCCTGCAGCCCGAATTCCGTACTTTTGCTGTGGATCCACAGATCACCTCGCTGGACGTGTTGCAGCACATCCTTATCAGGGCCTTTGACCTCAATGGGTGAGTCCTGGGGTGATAATGAACTAGATAAGAGAAGTTGGAAACTGACAGACGTGACTTTGAGTGCCCAGGCTTTTTTTTCTGATGGCTGAAAGCAAACTTCACAGTAGGTCAGTAAGGCTGGAACACAGAGCCAGTAATCCTTTCTTAACATCTGAACATGGAATAAGAACCCATAGCACATAACCTCTCATGAAATATAGCTTCCTTCCTTTATAGGCGGCGTAGAGCTGTCAGCCTGAGCATTGCTTCTACAGATTTGGTTTTGCTTGGGAAGCAGCATGCTTATTTCATGTACAATTTGGGGTGACAAAGTATTTGTCTTCTACTTACACACAAGCCACAGGAATTCACTTGCTATATGTGCTGAAACAAGTTTGTGTTTAGGATGTGTAAGTGCACAAACATAGTTTCTTATGGCTAAAGAATTACCTTGTAGTTTCTCGGCCAACAAAGGGGGCTGTCTTAGGACAATAGAATAGGGAGAGATAAAAGTAGGAAAAGAAAATCCCATTATAGACTTTCTGTGTGAACATAAGACTTGCTTCTTTTAATTCTAAGAAAAATTGCACTAGTGAGTTATCTTTTTTGTGTCTGTTCCTGCTCGGAGTCCTCCATTCTGCTCCCAAACCTATTCTAGAGCATTTCCAAATCTTCTGGTGCAGGTCTTCAGGTTCACAATGTTTCATCAGAGGGAGGAGTCCTCCCACCACTGTTCTCCTGGTTCAATGTGACAGAAGCAGTTTCATGGGTTGAATGAGCCCACCCATAATGCAAACATGTCTCTTTCTGTCTACCTCAGGAAGAAGAATTTTGCCATCAGCTATCTGGGCCGAGATAAGCAGGGACAAGATATATACCTACCGCTGATGTCCGACTGGGATCTGAGCATAGCCTTTGCTGGAGCCTCCAAGCCTTACTTACAACTCAAGATAGACATTAAGCCTTCGGAGGACAGTGAGTAATCTGTAGTTTAAGCAAAAGCTAAGTTCTGCGATATGTCTACATCCTGTAAACTGTACTTTTATATGTTTTTTCTGATGTTCCATAATTCTCCTGCTACATGGAAAAAATAAATAGAGGTGTTTTTAACCAGAAATTATTTTACAGCAGTACAATTCTCCATACTGATTACCCAAACTTGTGTTACAAGTTTGTCCTAAAGCAGACCTGCACAACATGTGGCCCGTGGATGCCTTTGGTGTGCCCCACCAAGCATCTCTCCCTCCCCACACACTTGAGACTGTCCCCTATAGTTGAAAGGGTGAAGAAAAAAACACCGCGTACACTCTGCCACTGTGCAAGAGTCCCATCCCCCCCACTCGCCCCGCCCTAGTTAGCAGCCTCCCTGCTCACTCTGCCCTGTTGCTGTGCTCCCTGCACACTTCGTCCCCAAGAGGGAGAAAAGAATGGGAGGAATGAAAGAGAGGTAGGGAAGGAAGGAGGGAGGGAGAAAATGAAGAACGAGAGGAAGAAAGAAATAAAGGGAAGGAGAAAAGGAGAGAGAAATGGAGAAATAATGATAAGAAAGAAGGAAAAAAGAGAGGGGGGGAAATAAAGAGAGAGAAGTAGGGAAAAGAAAAGGAATGAGTAAAGGGAGAAAGAAAGGTAGGAAACAGAGAGAACCAAAGTAAGAAAAGAGAAAGAAAGAAAGAAAGAAAGAAAGAAAGAAAGAAAGAAAGAAAGAAAGAAAGAAAGAAAGAAAGAAAGGTAAGAAAAAGAGGGAAGGAATTCAGAAAGCATGGTTTAGTGGTTTGAACCTCAATCGCTCTGAAACCACTCGGTTATTTTAGAGGAGTCACACTATATTTCAGCTTAAGATGAAAACAAAGGCCAGTCCCCTCTGAATATATCTTGACAAGAAAACGCTGATAGGGTTGCCCTCAGTCTGAAACAACTTGAAAGCACACAACAACAACAACAACACTAATTAGTAATTATACCTTATTTGGAAAGTGAGGTGCTAAAAACATATTTGTGGCTTCAAGAGGCTTAGCCCATCAAATTTAAGCCCCTTACTCCTAAAAAGTTGTGCAGGGCTGTCTTAAAGGAACCAAATCCTGTCCGATCTTGGAAGTTAAGAAGGGTCAGCATTTAGTGATGCTTGGATGGGAGACCACCAATGAATACCAGGGGCTGTGGGCTATATTTCAAAGGAAGGTGTGTTCCTTCCCTAAGAGAACCCTATGAATTCATGTGATCACCATACGTTAACAGGCAATTTGAAGCTCATACTGTGGGCCCTTTGTATCTCTTGTGGTTTGATGCTAGGACCACATAATACCAAAACCCATAGATACTCAAATTCCTTATACATAATGGCAAATCAAGGTTTGCTTTTTCGACTTTAAAAAATATTTTCAAACTATGGATGGTGGAATCCGTAGCTGCAGAATGTGAGGATACTGAGACCAACAGTACACATTAACAACATAAATCTCTGAAGTCCTAATCAGAGATTCAGTTTTTTAAAGCTATCAGCAGAGGATAGCTTTTAAAAAGTGAATGGGATGCATGGAAAATACACTCTCAGTTCCCTTCTTCAATTCTAGAACTGTTTTTTCCAAGTCTCCAATAGTACAGTAACTATTATAATTGGGTGACTCACTTTTTCCCATTTTGAAAGCACCAAGCAGCCAAAGTCTCCATAAGAAAAAGAATAATATGGACAAAGAAAAGGAATTCCTTGCCTGCATTGGCAGCAACAGGGGTCACAAGAGGATTTGTTAGTCATACATAGAAAAATAAAAAATGGAAGGACTGGAATTGAGATTACTGGTGCTTCTCTTGGTGCCAAATTATTTTCTTTTAAACAAGGAATGGGCAAGAAAGGATATAAAGGCTTGATTTCTATCTTTATTTCCTTTCAGTTATCACTTATGAAGGTGGGGTGGGGTGTGATCCTGTGAAAGCAAGAATTTGGGGGGGGGGGGGGGGGTTTGAGGGAAATGTTAGATGCTTGGGTTGAGAAATTGGCTCACGTTGCCATGTTTCCATAGGCCCCCTGCTAGAAGATTGGGACATCATCAGCCCCAAGGATGTAATCAGTACTGACCTGCTGCTGGTGGAAAAGCGGTCTCTGGCAGCAGCTGCCCTGCCTTTTACTCAGTCCATCATCTCTCAGGTAGGCTTCAAGGGATTAATTCGTTCTCCTACCTTAGACTTTCTTGACGTGGTACTACAGAAACAAAAATCTAGTAAATACCTAACCCCTTGGATAGAACAGAGTATTGGAGGGACACAATTAAGTCTGGCTGTTATTATCTTCCAAACCAATGATTAAGATCCCATTTCTCTTTGGTTCATCCTTTAACATTCAGAAGTATTGCTCTGCTTTCTAAGCTATTGTTGGAAACCCCTTTGAGTTCCCTCAGAGGGAGAAAAACAGTATATAAATGTAGTAAGTAAATAAATCAATTATTGATAGTGGCAGCAGTCTTGAAGCTATAGTGAGACAAGATGACAAAATGTTGACCTCTTTGAGGATGGGTGCCTGGTGTCTTACCTTCTTTCTTTTAATTGGCCAAGTACAGGTTGCTTTCTGACCTTGTCCCTCCCATTGTCTCTTGCTAGGTGGGCAGGACACTGTCCAAGGTCCAACAAGCTCTCAGCTGGTCCTATGGTGAGGATGTGAAGCCTTTCAAGCCCCCACTGAGTGATTCAGAATTCCACACCTTTCTGAACCATGAAGGGCAGCTGACTAGGCCTGCAGAACTACGTCTCCGGATCTTCCATGGGGGCGTGGAGCCTTCACTTCGTAAGGTGAGAGTGGGAGCCTTAAAGCTGGTGTTGTGTCTGAAGTGGCTGATGGGGGACATGATGGGCAGGAACAAGCCTTTGCCCCTATCTTCCTTCATCTCTTCATTCCACTTTGATATTAAGGTTGCTTGATGGCCTCCTCCCAGTTAGTTCTCTGAAATCTCCTGCTCTGAGCAGCAGGGCTTCCCCCTCCAGCCTGTCACTCTTGATGGAGGAACCGCTTGCCAAAACTGAGTCTGTCCTGTCTCCTGCAGGTGGTGTGGCGATACTTGCTCAATGTCTACCCTGATGGTTTGACTGGTCAAGAGCGCATGGATTATATGAAGCGGAAGACACGGGAGTATGAGCAGCTGAAGGGGGAGTGGGAAGCCCGGGCCAGCCCTGAGGACCTAGATTTCATACGTAGCAATGTGCTGAAGGATGTCCTGCGCACAGATCGCACCCATCCCTATTATGCCGGTTCCGATGATAATCCCCACCTGACAGCCCTGCATGACCTGCTAACCACCTATGCTGTGACACACCCACAGATCTCCTATTGTCAGGGCATGAGTGACATTGCCTCCCCCATCCTGGCTGTCATGGACAACGAGGCTCACACCTTCATCTGCTTCTGTGGCATCATGAAGCGGCTGGAGGGCAACTTCCAAGTGGATGGGGAAGTCATGTCTGTCAAGTTCTCCCACCTCAAGCTTCTCCTCCGCCACTCTGACCCCGAGTTTTACTCCTACCTCCTCTCCCGTGGGGCGGATGACCTCTTCTTCTGCTACCGCTGGCTGCTGTTGGAGCTCAAGCGGGAGTTTGCCTTTGAGGACGCCTTGCGCATGCTGGAAATCACCTGGAGTTCCTTTCCTCCTGATCCCCCTGAGAAGGAAGTGGAGCTGCTGGGCCTGCCAGCCAGGCCTGGAGACAGCACCCAACCTGTCCGAAGGAGACACATGTTACGTCCCACCTGCAGCTTTGAGGCGGCTGGGGATCGTCCCTGCGCAGAGCCAGTTCCTGAGGAGAAGACATTAGTGAAGCAGTCCAGCTTTGGGGAATTCAAATATTACAGCACTCGGAACGAGGACAGCTCAGAGGATGACACCTCGCCCAGGTCTCAGCGCTCAGTGGATGAGGATGAGGACTGCGGCACTGAGCATGACCCCTTGATCCAGACAATGAATGTGGCCAAATCCTTCTCTGCTCCATCTCTTCGGGCTGTGACACCCCCCTCTCGAGACTTGGCCTCCTCCTCAACCATTGGCAATGAAGAAGGCCAGTCAGGGGAGAAGAAGGGAGATTCCGTGGTTCATACCCCTTTGTCTCCCTCCCGTGTACCAGTTGCCCCTGGGGCCCCAACTTCTCCGGCTGCAGTCAGCCTTCCACCCCCCCAGGAGTTTGGCAAGGGCAACCCCTTTGTACTCTTCCTGTGCCTTGCCATCCTCCTGGAGCACCGAGACCATATCATCAAGAACAACATGGACTACAATGAGTTGGCCATGCATTTTGATCGCTTAGTCCGTCGGCACAACCTGAACAAGATCCTTCACCGCGCTAAGGCCCTCTTTGCCAATTACCTGCAGTCTGAAGTCTGGGACTCTGAGGAGGGTGATGAGGCAGCAGCTGAATCTCCGGCCACATCATGACTCTCCTTTCCATTTCTTTTGATGCGTGGGGACCGGTTCCCTGCTGCCACTGTGGTGAAAGCATTGACATGGAAGGGTGATTGGCTGATAAATGACTGAGTTTGGTCTGCATTGGTCTAATGCACACAATATACCATTTGTGTCCAATGTACTCTGTTTTTAAACTATCTCTGTGCAAATACCTTGGCACAGATGTCCCATCTGTTTTCTGTGCCTCCTAACCTTCCAAGTGCTGATGATCTTCCTGGGAAGATCTGTCTTGGAGAAGCCAGGTTCTGCCCTTTGGTAGTCTCCTCTCCTATGCATTTCTCTCTCTGTCTATCCATCTGCTTTACGTTGAGAGTACTCCTAGAAGAGCCTTCACTGACCAGTGCTTTTCAGCAGTGTTGGACTTAGCTGCCATCCTAGGGATGATGGGAATTGTTTTCAACACATCTGGAGGGCTCCTGGTTGAGGAATGCTGCCATAAGATGTTGGTTGCTAAGTAACCAAGATTGAAGCTTGACCCATTGGGAACCTGGAGTCTTTTGTTCTAGGTGGGTTTGCTGAAGGCATTTTTTAATCCTGAATCTTGACGCAACTTAATTTCCTGCATAGAGTGACATTTTGGGCTTGGCAGGAGCCAAGTGCTTTATGCCCTTTCTCAAAAAGTTGCCTTTTATGCTGAGTTATTCAAGTGTTATGACCTAAGTTTTTTAAAAGCACTTTATTTTCTGTATTTATTGGTGTTGTTTTTTTATACTTTGCCTTTCTGTTTCTGCCTCAAGTCATTTTTAAAGAATTTGGTTGAAGCTTTGTGGAGAAAATCACTGGGTGTCTTTAAAAGCTATTTGGCTACATCCCAATGACTAGATATTAAGCCAAGTAGTTCTTCTGTTAAATTGGGCCATGTTGGGATCATTTACAAATGAACTACTCAAGAGGGTTGGTGAGGAGTATTGTTGCCTTAGTGCCCTTGTAGATCAGCGTCTGGGTAACTAAACTGTTTGTGTTGGATTCCTTCTAATTGATTATCCTTCTCTCAGCTTAGATGCGCCTTTAAAAAAAATCCTACTGAAGAGCCATTCCCTGGCCAAGAGAATGCCCTTCCTTTGGTGGGCCTCCTTCTTCAGATGCAGATCCTTGATCTGCTTGCCATGTCCTAACAATGGCTTCCCTATGAATTATTAGTTTACAGGGCAAGATCATGTTGGAGAGTGTAGCAAGAATTTTTATGTAGGCAGAGGGAATACAAGTCCTGTCCAGAGTTATAATCTGATGTCTAGTAGTTGCATATGAAGATAATGTGTGAAGGCAACCAATTGACAAAAGGGGAGGGGAAATCATTTTAATATCTTGAATCTCCATTTTGTCTGTTTCTGAATTATATTGGGAGGCAAGCCATGTGTTGACCCACTATTGAATGAAGCAGCTTGATGGCTGAAGTAGGTAGCTGTCCATTTTTGCTGTGGGGCAAAGGCTATGAGAGGCACTGCACAGGAGCAGAAAATAAAAATGTGGGGAATTCTGCTAAAAAATGAAGTAAGCAGTTTAACTGCTACTTTTTGTATTAGAAATTGCACTCCTCAGGTAGCTTGTTATTCTTATTCTAGAAGCTATATCAGCAAAGCAGAAAACAGGAATTTCCTGACATTGCCTGGCCATCACTATTCTGATTGGTAACATCATATCTTTGTTTGAATTCCACTGTTGGGGTTTGGGCCCCATTTAAAATTAAGCGTTTCCTAGATTCAGTGGCAGGCAGTTTTGAGATATGGGAAAAGGTGTTCTCTTCTCCCCAGTTTCATTTAGAAAGTGCCAGTCATGTTCATTCTGCCTCTTCCTTTCCTCAGGCCTTTGCTCATAGTTGGCACTTTGCTCATAGTTGGCATAAAATCCAACTATGGAAGAAAAAAAGCTTAGAAAAGTATATGCTTTCAAGTGTTTGAGTTTCAGCTGCCCAGTCGCATCTTTTCCAGTAGACCGTGTTTCCCAAACTCCAGTCTTCCAGATATTTTGGACCTCAGCTCCCAGAATCGTTGGCCAAGAAAGACAAGAGTTTGGAAATCACTACACTAAACCTATGTTTTTGTTGACATTGCTTTGTATTATTATTCTCTTCTGATCAGAGGGACTTCATTGGAAGCTTCCTATCAGAAGCATAATCTTGTGAGAACAGCTTCCTGTGTTGAGATGCTCTTGTCTGAAAATGTACATCTCAGGGAGACACCAGCCTCAGTCTGTGTAAGAGGGGTCAAAACACAAAGAGTTAGAAACACCTTTGGAATAAAAGTGTTCTTCCAGTAGCCATCTATGATGAATTTGAAGGAACAGGCAACTGTAGATTGTGTAAAATGAAATGAGAAATGGCCACCAGAAGGAGCTCTAGCTTAGCTTATACTGAACTTGGTAGTAAGAGCACAAGAGGTTTGTAGGATCCTCTGCTCTTTTTCTCTGACTGATGGTGGGAGAATTGGGACTCATTCTGACAAAGAGATATAGATATAAAGCCAAGGGTGAGGAATAGCTGTTTCTTTAGGGGTAGTTTATTCATACTGGTAGGGTTGTCGTCATGTGGCCTGCAAATGACAGTTATTGTTTAAGAGTTCTGAAGCTAGCAGGTGTTTCTACCAAAGAGGCATGTTGCTGAAAAAAATGCTTTGTGAATAGGTGTCTTGTACAGAGTGGGCAGCAGTGGCTCATGTCTTCCAGAGTATCATGGACTTGGTCACATTAGCTAATTATTGGGGAAATTTTGGCTTTCTACAACAGCTGTAAACCCTTACAATTTGCCATGGTGCTTGGAGATTCTTAGTGATGTTGGCTAGAACATTTATGGGACCAATAGTCCCTCCCCTCATCCCTGTTTTGCTTAATTAACTTCTTGACATAAGATGAGGCAATAATAGGAAAGGATCCGGGTCTCATGACTGATTATTCCTATGGAGAATTTTCGCCACTATCTCCTCATATTTGTATCCCAAAATGAGCTAATTCCATTTTGCAGTATATTTTGTTCTGCTTTCCCCTTAAGCTTTCTTATGTTGAAGCTACTTACCCCTGTCAAAGAGGCTAAACAAAGGTATGCTTGTACATTGGTTTTAGCAGTGCTACGACTTCAAACATTCTCAAATCCTTAATTGCATTAATCTGTATTGTTTGGAATTACAACCTTTGTTTGTATAGCATTGGGCAAAGTGGTTTTCTTCATCTAGGAGAGAATGTTTCCCAAAGGCAGAGGCTCTCATGCCCAATTTTTGGCCTCCAGAAGAACCCTGTGTTGTGCTTGACTCCAAAATGTAGAACTAAAATATGAATTTACCTCTTTTTCCAAAAATGTCCACTTCCATTTTTTTCTGGTTTTGGAACATGGAATTGGGTGGGGGTCCTCTGATAGTGAAATTGACAAAACCCACCACTCCCAGAAGCCCTTCCGGAGAGAAAAGATGCACTTGGGCGACCCTGATGTAGTCCACAAAGATTATAAATCCTCCCTGAGAATCATCATGCTTCAGCCTTAGATCACATTGGCATAGTATTGACATCCATATGATGTATGTAACACAAGCCCGTAATAGTGAAGAAATTCATGGTCTGCATTCAAGAAAACAGAGGAGAAGAACTTGGATGGACAAATCTTTTAAACCTACAACTCTGAATCCCACAATGTTGGATGGGGCATTTTAGGAGTTGTATTTTTAAAAGGTGGATTTTCCCAAGTTTGGGATACAAACAACTTATGGTAACTTGGAATGACCCAAGCGAAAAAGAGATGGTAACTGATGGTGGAATTTAAATCAGTTTAGTACCCCTTTTATGTCTATCCTTGGGGACAGAAGACAAACCTAGGGCTCAGTGCTCTCAGCACTTGCAAGGGCCAAGCTAGGTAAGTGGATGAACTATTTCAGCAGATCTGAGTAATTAGCCTTTTGTGACCCACTGATACTTGGCAGGTTTGATGTATTACTAGCTATATAGATTGCATACAGGTGTTGATCTATGTATCTCTATAGCTGGAGATCATGTTCCACCACAGGATATCTCCTGTCTGTCACGAAGGAAAAAACATGGCATAAGGAATAAAACCTTAATGTCTTTAAAATGAATTTCTATTTTGTCACCTTCCTCTAGCCTCACTGAACGTTGTGGAAGTCTGGGAAACCCTCTCAGTGGCCAAAGGTTGTAGCTTTGCTTAAAAGGCCCAAGGCAACCTTGTTAATTTTGGAGCCCTCCCTTGTAGATGAAGGGCTAGTACTGCTGTTCTCAGTTCTTCCTTTCTGCTTTATGCAGTTGAGATGACTTACATGGTTGTCTGGTTAGAAAAATATCCACTGGAACAACATCTATTACATGCGTGTCTATCTTTTAACAATAAGCTAATTCCAGGTCTTGCTTGGGAAGGGTGGATCACAGACTCCCCTTGGTGGCTTGCTTCCTGCATGAAGCTATGAAAGTTGTGTCTTAGCCAAGTTCCTTGGATATTTGTCTACCTTCTTGACAAAATCAGGATAGATTTTTTTGTACACAGTTTCTGTTTGTTTGTTTGATAACAGGCTGGACTTAGATTGCTCCCTTTCCTACGTACTCGGAAAGCATCCCTTAAGATTAAATTAGGGTTTGCTTCCAAGTCAGATGCTTTGGCAGTAGCTTTGACAGAAGGATGGTGAATCTCATACTGGGCAGTGGAGGAGACAAGCTGTGGAGTTGGCATTATGGATAGGGTTGAAAGATGCCTGGAAAATATTGGGAGCATTAGGTGAAATCTGTTTGTGTTTGCCTGTATCACTCTTATCTGCCCTCCCTATTAGCCACCATTAGAACCATTAGAACCAAATCATTCCTGCCTCATGTATGTGCCTCAGGCAGAGGAATCTGAAGAAATTATGGTTGCCCCCAGGATACTGCTATAAATCAGGAAGATCTGTGGCACAAATACCGGTAAAGAGATGAGAGCCTTGATTTTTGTACAATGTCTTTTGGATTTAGTGGGTTAGATGCAAAAGAACATCTTGGTAGATGTTCACAAGCAAACTGGTGGTCATAATATATAGATAATGCAAATGACTGTTTCCCTGCTTCTGGGTATCTTGTCAGTGGTCCACTTGCTACAAGCAGGTCTCATCTTACAAATTTAGCTGTTCTTCCTCCAACCAGATTCCAGCTTTCATTGTGCCCCACTACTGCCATTGTAGTTCTGAGGCCTACACTACATCTGGTGTTAAATGCTTGGCATCAGCCTACATCACCATAGCTTTACTACGTGCTGTGAGGTCGGCTCCATTTTCTGTGATTCCATTTTTAGCCCTCCAGCCAGATTCCGTTACATTCTCTCCTTACAATCAGATGTTTTAAGTTATCCAAACTTGTTGCTCTATGATCTATTTATAAGTACATATGTTTACTTTGCCTTGGTATTTTTTTTCCTGCTGCTTATTTATTTTTACAACACTTTTTTGGGAGTGGGGGGTTGTGATGCTTTATGTTTCAAGCCAGAACTTGCGGACAGCACAAAAATTTTCAAAGGAAGGTTGTGCTAACTTTAGCAGTGGGTCATGCCAGAATCATAATGTATTTACATTTGTCTGATTTTCTGTCCTGTAGCATTATTGGCTTTGGCTACCCATGAACACTGTATGACAGATGAGATTTCTTGAACAATTGAGACAAAAGAAACACTTTTGTGGAAATAACGCATCAAGTAATGCCATGGCCATCTCAGTGATGGGAGAAGTGACCTTCCAGATGTTGCATTGCATTTCCTGTGCTTTCTCAATATTGGCTATTCTAGGACTTTAAATCTAGCATCATCAAAGGCTACTTGATTTCCACCCACTAAGACTTACAGAACTGGAAAACATCCGACTCATAGTATGCACTGGACAGACTTGCTGTCCAAACTTTATTGAGGTGAAAAGACCACCAGTTGGTTTCCTGTGTTTCATTCATGTCAGTGCACCAAGCACTAGAGAAACCTTCCATTACATTGGATTGTGTTTCTCATCCATTGGAGGGATTTTCTGGCCTAGGGATCCAAATTTATTGGATTTGCTTTGTTTATAGCCCTGGGTTTTAAAAACATAGTTGGTTAATTTGTGTTCATTTGCTGAGAATATGAAAATTATGGCCTGTTTTGGTTTTCCATTGAAAATCCAGACTACTTTTTTTTTTTGTAAACCTTGGAATTGAGTTAGGATCATATTCCTGGGACAAGATGTCTTCATTCTTTGTCCTGGGTTTCAGTGGGTCACAGGTGAATGGCCATAGGCTGGACCAAAATGGTAATAAAGGAACTAGCAATTCAGGATTTGGGAAGCCTTGGAGCTCAATCTCTCTCACTGGACATGGCAGTCTGGTTTGCAATGTTGCAGTTTTGAAGGTCCTTCTCCATTTGAACAGTGATGGCTCCTGTGTGTATGTAACCTCTTTCTGGTTTGACTCTGTCTTAATGTATTATTCAATTGACATGGCCTTTTTTCTTCCAGGCCTCAGGCACTTTTGTCTGTTTTTGTTTTTAAGGTAATATAGTAAAGGAATGAAAGTCTAAATAAAGCGGTGCTGCTTGTTGACTTGACTCAGCTGATCAAATGGCATGGTGTGTTATTAATGGGCTTTATTAGGCCAAACCAATATAGATATAATGATCCCTGGTATGGAAGACAGAACAGACATTTCCTGCACTCAAACATGCCATTAGTTTCTAACTTTCATTGGACCTAGCCAGCATGACCAGTGGATAGCAGTCATGGGAATGCTAGACTCACATCTGGGCATCTTTAGAGCAGGTTTGAGACCCTTGTAGCCTTCCAGATCTTGCTAGCGTATAACTCCCAACATTCCCTGCTATTGGCTATGCTGGGTAGGGCTGATGATAATTGCAATCAGATATCAAATATTGCAATCAAAGGCATGATTCCTTTGCACTAGAGGTTCACACACAACCATAGCAAATATGCAACTATTTTAGCTAAAAGTCTGACCTAAACCAGTATGCACAGAAAATGACACATCCAGATTTATAATGGGGAATATGCTGTTTGTCTGGGCCTTAGTTGTTTATGGTGCTCCTAAGGCAGGATTGGTACCAGGGGAGGGAGTGCCATCGCCTTCCTCTGAAGTTGAGGGTATGTGGCCTGCTCCAAAGCCACTGAGTAACCTTACACAGACAAGGAGGGATTTGAACTCTGTTCTCCCCAAGTCCTAGTACAACACTCAAGCCATTACATACTCTTGATCTACATGGGAAATGCTCTGATCTGCCTTCAAAAAAAGTCTGTGTCAAGGTAAGCAGAATTCTGTTGCCATCTTTTTTAAAAAAAACACTCAGCATTTTAAAATTGTAAACCTGCTTTCCCCATAGCTTAATTTCATTTTAATATCTCATATAAGGAGCCCCCGTTGGCACAGTGGGTTAAACTTGAACTGCTGAACTTGCTGACCAAAAGGTCAGTGGTTCATATCCGGGGAGCAGGGTGAGCTCCTGCTGTTAGGCCCAGCTTCTGCCAACCTAGCAGTTTGAAAACATGCAAATGTGAGTAGATCAATAGGTACCACTCTGGCAGGAAGTTAACGGTGCTCCATGCAGTCATGTTGGCAATATGACCTTGGAGGTATCTACGGACAACGCCGGCTCTTCGGTTTAGAAATGGAGATGAGCACCAACCCCCAGAGTCAGACATGACTAGACTTAATGTCAGGGGACAACCTTTACCTATAACACAAAAGATCATACAGGGTATATTTACTATTTATAAGTACTGTGCCATGAGAGAAGTTAGGATTATCCACTGATGTGTTATGAACACCTCATAACTTCTTAGCTAATGGGTAGAAGCTGTTTGCACCAAATTTTTGTTTGTTCTCAAACCAATTGATTTCATTAGAAGAAGAGGATAAGTACATAGATGAGGGGCTTATGTACTCAAGGGGAAAACCCTAACTTTGAATTTGGCACAATCAACCCAGCCAATCTATGGCCACTTCTACTTCTTGAATACACCTTTAAACATTTCCCAGGTCTTCATTTTCTTTCAGATGTTTTATTCTGCTGTGAATTTAAATCAGACCTGCAGAAGTTGGTGGTAGTTATGGTACAAAATTAAAATATGCTAAACTTCTCCAGTCCACAGTTACAATTACAACGGCCATGATTCCATAGCATTGAGCCATGACACTTAAAGTAGTGCCAAACTCTATTAATTCTATAATGTAGATGCGCCCTCTGTCTTTGAACAACCATCCAGGTGGCACAAGATTTATGCAACACAGCCTCCGTAGCAGCAAAAACTATATTTTATTTAGCATCCTCCACTCCAGCAGTTTCCTCCCCTTATTCTTCATGCTTCAAGAGTGTCTGTTTCTGTGCTCTACCTGAATCTCAACAACTTACTACACCCAAATTCACCTCTTGGAGCACTAGGAGGAGGCTGCCCCTTTGTGTGGTTTGCCTGGCAGCTGAGCAAGGTGCCCAGTCCCATGGAAAGAATGTGGCTGCTGCAGCCCCCACTCCAGCCAAGTACACTGGCCATCCTCAGGTCATGGCTTCCCTGTATTCACTGTTGTCACCCTCTCCAGTGCCTCCTGCTCCCTGAAGGATGCTCTGCTTCTGTGTGGAGGCCTCCTGGGATAAGAAAATTTGGCAGTAGCAGGAGCATCAATAGAACGCAGAGACAGTGCTGTGTGTAAGTCATGGTGGGTATATTATGCAGGGAAACCAGGGAGAGTGGCAGTCTCTTCGGGCCACCCAAAACCCCTGGAGAGGGGCAGGCGCATGTGGGCTGTGGGCCATATGTTGTTCAGAACTGTTTTATACATTTTGGGGGATTATTAATGCAGGCACAGGCCATTGCCCATCTTGGTCATGTGAGGACAAAGGGGAGTAAAAGACAGGTAATCACAATCTGCATTAGCATTAAAAAATTAATTTCCCTTGAGATCCAAATTTGTGTTGAAGGTCCCATTCTGATTTTTGTTTGCACAGTCCTTATTCTGAGTTGAAAGAAATTTA